AATTTTAATAGAGATTTTTTCGCCCTTTGTTCATAAAAACCTCACTGACTATCTCTACTAATCTGACTTTGATTTTCTTTAAGCTGTAACGAAAACGGGCAGATGAGAGTAATAAAACCATTTACCGAGCCAAATATTAGGTCCATAATTCATAATAGCTTATAATTTTGAATTACGAGCGTAGATTCAATACAGGAATAATATCACCAATTACAATGGAATTTTGTTTAGGGCGAATCCACTAACCCTTAAATTAAAGAGGGTTGACACTTTACGAACTTAACAGGGATAAATTATGACGTAACAACTGGAACTCATTAATAATAAGTCGCCGTTCTTGCAATTCTAATCCTGAGACGTTTTAAATTGAGATACGTTAAACGCCTTGGGCAATTAAAATGTTAATTCCTATATACAATTGAAAGTTTACTTTTTTATCTTCTTAACGTAGCTTTGCTCTTTTGAAGTAAAAATTACGACGATATATTTGTATAAACAATTTTAGTTCTGCAAATAACCAAGAAAAAGTAAACTCGTAAAAACACATGATTATGGATTAAAATAAGACTTCAGCTGACAAAAGGGGAACATGTAAAATTAAAGACTTGGCGTAACCAATAAAATATATACAATAACGAGCGTTACTTAAGTTTTTCTATGTTTTAACTTAGCGCCATCTAGTTAGTGTAGTTTGAACAATAATATTTTATTACAAAGGGTAGATATTATTACCTACCTGCTTTCTTAAAAAGACAGATAGCTGTTTCGCTATCATATTTTATAGAGATGACAGCCAAGAATTTGGCTAGACCCCTTGCTTCTATTGAGCAAGCATTAGATTATAAGACCTTGGAAGAAATTCCAAATAATATTTATTTAAATTAGATAATAGGACAACAGAGCACCACTCTTGCAATAATAAGGTAAGTATATTATGTGATAAAATTCATTCCCAAAAAATTATTGTGGTTCATCAAAATATACAGGGGATGAAAAATAAAGAATTAGAAATTGAACTATTCTTGAATAGTCAAAAAATAGACTTTTTGTGCATAACAGAGCACTGGTTAAAAAAATATGAAGTTTTGTTTAATTTTTGTAACCACAGGGTTGGTAGTGTGTTTTGCAGAGAAAATGCAATTCATGGTGGCTCATTAATCCTAATAAGTAAAAAACTTAAATGCAAAGAAAGAAAGGATATTATCAGCCTCTCTGTAGAACTAACTATTGAAATCTCCTGTGTGGAACTGGAGCAATTCATTGTTGTATGTCTATATTGTCCTCCATCAGCTGTCTATAATAATGTTGAAAATGTATTAGAGGAGATATTGTGTAAATTAGTAAAGTGTAATAAAGGGCTAATTGTGTGTGGGGACTTTAATGTCAATTTACTTTGTCATTCTAATTCAAGTGTACGCATACCTAATTAGTCTTTTTCGTTCATACAATTTAATAAATCAATTTCATTCACCCACAAGAATAACAGCTAGCACCGCAACTTGTATAGATAATATATATAGTGACATAGCCCCTTTGAATGTTTGTATTTTCAATAGATTTAAATCTGATCACACTGGTCAATGGTTTGAATTCCAATTAAGGAAACAAAAAACATGTAAAAAGAAGAAAATTGTGATAACTCCTATTACAAATGACCGTTTGGACAGATTTAGAGAAGCATTGGTCTATAGAATGCCATTTCTGTGTGGCAACTCATCCCCTAATAATTTATACAATACTTTTTTTGGATCATTTATTGATGAATTCAAGAAAGTATTTACTCAAAAGACTTTATTGGTCTCTGAGAAAACAAGTTTCTGTGACTGGGCAAATGAGGAGTTACACAGGAAAAGGTTAAAATTATATGAAATCTATGACGAAATGCAATATAACACTAGTGTGGAATTTAGGGAATATGTTAGGTTGTATTCAAATAATTTCAAAAAAGATTGCAAAACTGCAAAGTCTCAATATTTAAGTTCAAAAATAAAAAATAGCATGGATAAAGTAAAAGCTACCTGGAAAATAATAAATGAAGAATCAGGTAAAACGTCTGACAAACGAACTGATTATATGTTAAAAGTTAAAGGGAAGTTAATAAAATCTGACCCAGAGGTAGCTTCTTCTTTTGAAGAGTTCTTTACAAATGTACCACTAAATACGACCAAGTCCCTAGATTCTTCACCTGCTGCTGCGATCTCATTGCTAGAAAAATGTGTACCTGAATGTAATATTAAATTTCAGTTTAAACATATAACTTGTAATGATATCGTTAAAACTTTTAAGCTTATTAATTTAAAAAAAAGTAAAGATATATGGGGTATGTCAACAGTCATTTTAAATTCCGTTATTAATGTAATAAGCTCTGAATTGTCTATAATTTTTAACAGATGTATCGATTGTGGAGTCTTTCCGGACGAAATGAAATTAAGTAAGATTACACCGTTGTTCAAGGCCGGTAGTGAGTCTGATCCGTCAAACTTCAGACCTGTTTCCGTGCTCCCTGCGTTGAGCAAAGTTTTTGAAAAGATAATGCTAGACCAGCTTTCTTTACATTTTAATAAAAATAAACTCTTACATAATAAACAGTATGGTTTCACTAAGGGTCGCTCCACAATCGATGCCGGTGTGAAGTTGATTTCGGACATATTTAACGCCTGGGAAGAATCATATGATGGAGTCGGCGTCTTTTGTGACCTGTCAAAGGCCTTTGACTGTGTTCATCCTGATATACTCGTTGGAAAGCTTCAACACTATGGCGTTGATGGCAAAGCTTCCAGCCTGATGAATTCATATTTAAAGGGAAGGATCCAAAGAGTTCATGTCAATGGAGTCACCTCTCCGGGTTCGCAGGTATCAATGGGCGTCCCCCAAGGATCGATTCTCGGGCCTTTCTTATTTCTGATTTACATAAATGACCTCCCATTCTTTGTCAACGAAGTTCATGAGATGGTATTGTTTGCTGATGACACTTCACTTCTATTTAAAGTGAATAGGAATAACGTATTATTGGACGATGTAAACAATTCTATCTCTCGTATAGTTAACTGGTTTAATGTAAATAACTTATTGCTTAATGAGAATAAAACAAAATGTATTAGATTTACAACTACTAGCGTAAAGCGAGATATTGGTAACCTGAAAATTAAGGACAGTGAACTAAACTTTGTTGACAAAACTGTTTTTCTAGGCATAACAATAGATAGTAAACTCCAATGGGGCCCACACATAGAGACTCTTTCGAATAGGCTGAGCTCTGCAGCATATGCAGTAAAGAAAATCCGACAGTTTACTGATGAGGACACGGCTAAAATTGTGTACCATAGCTACTTTCATAGCGTTATGTCGTACGGCATTTTACTGTGGGGTGCTGCTGCAGAGGTTCAATCTATATTTGTGCTGCAGAAGCGGGCTGTTCGGGGTATTTGTTGTGTTTCTCCGAGGGAGTCGGTACGGAATAAGTTTAAGGAATTAAATATTATGACACTATCTGGTCAATATATTCTTGAAGCCTTGTTGTATGTCCAAAAAAATATAAACGATTTTAAAACAAATGGTGACTTTCACCAGTATAATACGCGAAATAGAACTAATTTGAGTGTACGACCAACCAGGCTCCAAAAGATAAACCACTCCTTATATGGAAATTGTATTCGTTTTTACAACAAGCTCCCAAGCGAAATTAGAGAATTATCACTAAATAAATTCAAAGCCCTCGTTAAACGAAAATTAATCAACAAAGCTTTTTATAAATTTGAGGACTACTTAAATGATCCTAATCCTTGGGATTGAATTGCTCCAGTTCAAACAATTTGTATGACAATACTTGGCGATTAAAAAGAGTGGCGGAAAGTTTCTTGCCAGTTCTTCTTACCCGCTCTACGCCCTTGACTTGCGAACTGGTAGTAAATGTAAATTTACGATTAATTTAACTTGACGATTCAAAAGTGTACTTGGTTACCTACTTGAATAAAGATATTTTGAGTTTGAGTTTGAGTTTGAGTTAACTGAAAATCTATTTTAAATAACGTAAAGTATAATACAGTGATATTAATGTTTATATAATAGACAAATATTGCTCTTGGGGCTCTAATTTGCGTGTTGTTCCCACGAAAATGTGAGTCGTGCTCCTATTTCACCATGCCTCCTGCTGATAGAGGACAAATCTTTGTTTTTAATTTATGTTATTATTATTATTTACTTAAGATGTCATGTGGAACATGGTGTAATGGTTGCAGCTCCTTACAAACGTTGTGTAAAACAAAAAACTTGGCGATTAAAAAGAGTGGCGGAGAGTTTATTGGCAGTTCTTCTCCTCCGTTCTACGCTTTTGATTTGAGAACTGGCAGTAAATGTAAAATTAGAAGCATTTAATGTATATTTCTTTTTTGACGTTCATAAGTGTACATTGTGTTACCTACATGAATAAATAATTTTTGGTTTTTTGACTTGGACTCCCACAAACTTGACTTCCATTGTTTTGACGTATAAAACGAGTGAAATGAATGACTCGTTATTTGTTTGAAAATTTAACAGCGTCTCTGGTTTTACGAAACTAAGATTTTGCATACAAATTTTAGGAAGGCGTTTAAATATTTGTAAAAGGTTATTATAAGGATAAAATATTTACTGTGTCTGCCTACTAGGACAGATATTTAAACGGCACTAGCGGACTATAACGGCAACCCGTGCAATGACGACTCATTGGTCTAGTGGTTAGTACCCCTAACTGCGAATCCATGGGTCCCGGGTTCGATCCCCGGCTGAGACAAACATCGAGATGAGCATTTGTGATTTTGGTGTTTAAATATGTATTTATATGTTATCTATTATTATTTGTATCCGTGCCTAGTACCCATAACACAAGCTTCACCAGCTTAGCATGGGACTAGGTCAATTGGTGTTAATTGTCCAAAAAAAAACGCGTTAAAGGAAGCCAGGTCAAATGAAAGCTTATCATTTGATAATACAGTAATACATTTTTTCCGTCTATTTTACTTTTACAATACCTTGACATATGGAGAAGCCAGCACCCGTCGCAACTCGTGTATAGCGGCTGCAGTAGCGGGTGCAGCACCGGCGGGAGCGGTAGCGGCGCGTGGGCGGGAAGCGGCGTCCAACGCGGCGCGTGCACGTGCTCGGCCGTCGGCTGCGGGCGCTCGACCGCTCGTCACCACTACCGTACACGCTATGCGGTCATAGACCTGTTTTTAATAATTAATATTTTTTAGTTTCAGGATAAGTAAGAGTACCTTAAAATATAATTTAAACGGAGTAAAGTTAATCTTTTAATTTACTAGTAATTTCTAGGCTTGGTGCACCCTCTTCAATAGCTGTCAAAAACTAATTGCAGTGCGCACAGATCTATAAATTAAAGTCAAAAATCATTTATTCATGTAGGTAACACAATGTACACTTATGAACGCCAAAAAAGAAATATACATTAAATGCTTCTAATTTTACATTTACTGACAGTTCTCAAATCAAGGACGTAGAACGGAAGAGAAGAACTGGCAATAAACTCTCCGCCACTCTTTTTAATCGCCAAGTTTTTGTTTCACACAACGTTTGTAAGGAGCTGCAACCATTACACCATGTTCCACATGACATCTTAAGTAATAAATAATAATTAAATAAATTACAAAGATTTGTCCTCTATCAGCAGGAAGCATGTTGTAATAGGAGCACGCACTTATATTCTCGTGGGAACAACACGCAAATACATAGTTGAAACAACTAACATCACCGCATACACGAATTCAAGTACGACCAGTCACAAGCCAAATGCATAATAAATCCTTTAATCTAGAGCAAGTTAAATACCTCTAACAAAGCGCGTAACTGCAGATCATCGAGGACGCTGTGAAAGAGATCAGGGTCCATGACCACCGGGCCATCCTGCAGTACAGCCACATCATCCAGGGATTCAACTAACAGATTGACCGCTGAAACAAATACATTTAACTGCAACTTCCAATGTACTTTTCTTTGTATGTGCATGATTAAGACTAGGTTGTTCGGTGAAGGAAGACATTCTGAGGAAAGAGGCATGCGTTAGATCAAAAGTCAACAGCGTGTGTCAGGTACAAAATACAGGTTCAAAACAAAAACAGGCTGATCACCAAATATTCGATAAATTAAATCTGAGGCCAAGAGGGTTGTAGCGAATTTTTTTTGTTAGAAATATACCTGCTGCATTGGCCTCTTCCAGTAGCACCTGTCTTCTAGACGGCTGTTCTTCCTCCTCTTCATCTTCCACTGATGCAGCAGCGAGAGTCGCAGCCCTCAATCGTCGACGACTGTTGAATTTCTTCAGCTCTTCAACTGTGGCTGCAAGGTGGATGCGGTTTTGCTTGTCGCGGTCCTATAACCATAAGTTATTGAACATTGAACTTTGCACAGACTATAGGTAGGTACGTCGATGGCGCGCATTTTAATGTTGTGGTCATGCGTTCGATTTCTAACTGACTATTTTATTATACTTGTGCATAATTAATTCCCAGACAAAGAAAACATTGCAAGGAATCCAGCTTGTTTAATACCTAAACAAATACCCTAAAATATTTGTTTTAAGTAACTAAAGTTTTTCATCAAAGTTAAGATAATATACTATTTATTTTTTCGAAGATATGATTGCATAATACATTTTCAATTCAGATGACGTATTAAGCTATTGCATAGATTTTATCGCGGGCTTTCAGCGCGGCGACCGAATCAAGAAATTCCGTAACGAAAAAAACCTAACACACGATGACGTAATATAGGTGCGGCCAATACGCATTAGAGCGGGACAGAACGCGTACTGCGTCTCACATCGGTTTAGCGTGATCGAATAGGCGTGTTAGTCTGAATCTGGTAGAGTCGTAGAATGAATTAATATCAAAGAAAAAAACATATTGCAAAAAATAAATTAATAATTATATTGCATAAGTTTATAAAAATGCTATGCCGGTATAGCTTTACCGCGGCAGTCCCCGAGTGCCACACGTATTTTTATTATTATTATTATTATAAGATACGATTGGCTTTCACTAACAAAAGTAAAGCAAAGCATAAATATGGGTTAAAAAAACTAAAATTCTAAAGACAAAACAATCTTTCAGTAAATGCCGTTTATGAGTAAAGCCATTAGCATATTATGTATAGTAGTTACCCTTATCCACCGATGGTTAAGAACTTCCTGTATATTGATCCTCTGAGTGTGGTCAACAGTTAACATGCGTTGGACAAGATCTTTGGCTGCGTCACTTATGTCCTCCCAGAGGGGTGCATCAAACTGTAAAAAATAATTCAGTAATTTCAACAAATTAAAGAAAATTAAGAATAGGAATTTATTATTATAAAGCAAATTATGTTTTATCTTATTTTGCAAAGTTATAGTAGTACCAGCGCCCACACATAGATAGCGCTTTAAACAACTGTTACGGATGAATTAGTACCAGCGTTAAACATAGATGGCGTTTCAATTAATTGTTCATATTGCCATTGTATACTTAGGTGGCGCTAGCTTACCGTAGCGAATGTATACCAATTTAGTATTATGTTATGATTAAGTTTACTGGCTTGGTAGTAATTACATAAAAAAGTAGTCAATATAAAAACCTGTAACACCGATATTTAATACTTTGATGATAGATTTGATAAAAAAAATAGGTTAAAGGTACAAATATATTATTTTGTCTTCTATTTTACGATCTTATTCATAAAATTACTATAACCCTAAATAAAAAAAAATACTTGATGTCTTTAAAAAATCAGGATAAATACAGATCCATATTTAAAATAACCGTTATATGCCAAATACTCATAATACTCACTCTCAACCTCCCACGGCATATAGCTTCAAACAAACGTTCCCTTGTTCCAGTGAAGGGCAGATATCCGACCAGTAAGACATGGAGAAGTATACCAGCAGCCCATACATCCACAGGTTTGCCATACAACTGGCTTGACACCACCTCTGGCGCCATGTAGTGAGGAGTACCAATGCGACCTTGGAATTATATATTTGTCAAATATTAAAAATAAACTATTATCACCCGGTCCTTTACCATACCAGTCGTTATCGCTAGGAGTTGTTGATTTTTGGCAATCCCAACTCGTAGCAACTTGGTAATTTGGTTATTAGGACCGGACGCAATACTCACTATTAAAATATGTAGTAATAATTTAATTTTGATATAAACTGTATTTCTTGTATTAATTTAGTTATTAATATGATGCACGTGTGATAGATGTGTAATATTTAGTAGTAAGTTAATTTATTTAGTAGTGTTTAAAAAAAATATTTTAAATATTTATTTAGTCTCTTATGTGCAATTTTCTCTTACGTAAACTTTAACTTAAATCCTCATTGCTTTTTGTGAAAAAAATATGTTCTATAATATAAAACAGCAAATAAAATGAAGAACAAAATACGTTCTGGTTAACAAGCATATGAAATTTATTTTTGACACTGAATAACCAGATATTAAAAAAACGTATTAACAAGGCTTCATCGCTAGTAAGAAATCCTTCATAATTATTTTTTAATTGAAAATATCATTACGTAAAAACAATATTAAAGGAATAGCATTCTACATATGAAATTGGCTCACAATGTCGTTATCATGGAGTAAATACAATAACCATACGTTTACCTACCATAGCCTAAAGATTATCAGAAATTGCGTTATCTACACAACTGTTAAAAGCGTTTATCTTCAACTGGATCAACCAAAACGAAAGCGTGTTCTCATGCTTATATAAGCATCTTTCTAGCTATAGATTTGTGTAATTGTGCGATTATATTGCACCGTATAAAAGAAATGAAAATGTACCAATTCGAAAAGTAAACGAACCTTATCGTTAAAAATGATGTCAAAATGAAATCAGGTGAAAAAACTTTAAAAGAACATGTTTAAAAAAAGATGTGCGCAGTGACATTAAAGTCTGCTTTATAAAGACATGAAATGAGCGGACGTCCGAGACATATATATAACCACCCAAGACATTAAAAATATACTATTGCTGTATTGTAATGAAAGCATATACTATCACATGAAATATGTTTCATTACACATAAATAATATTTAAATATGGTATGGTATGGTTTTTTGGGACAAAAAAATAAAAACCGGATGTAACGAAGGCACTAAATTTTAAGCCTGGAACTAATAACCGCATAACTTTATATCCGTTATGGTAACGGATAAGGTTAAACCCTTTAGGTTCTAAGAACTTTTAGTTTTGTTATAATGTTAAGGCAATAATAAAAAAAAAATATCAATATATGTACTTGGGCGATTACTAAGTCCGAAAAGTGTTATGTGCCAATGAAATTTGCACACAATGTCCATGCAGTTAGGGCACAAAACAGTTCCACTCTTACCATACTCGTCTGATTTGAGATAGGCTTGGCCCATTGGACCCACTAGGGGCCGATTGTCCATCACCAGTTCTGCATAATACAGAATCCAGTCAGACCGCGTTTTTTTTACAATTTTCTAGTACAAATCTTGGCACTTAAAAACCAAAGTGCATTAAATTCTGTTTATAAATTTAAACATATGTTTTTGCTTTCAAGTATACATTAATAAGGTTTTGCTTTCAATACAATTAACTACTCGATTTGATAACTTATATACGTATACTGTACAGCAGAGTAACTCAGGAAATTGCTTCTATTGTCTTAATTGGCCCAAAAAGCGTTTTATAACAAAGTACCGATTCCAGTAACAAGGACAGCTAAAGCTTTGAAGTCGTAAACTTAGAATTGCAAGATACGAAAACTCAATATTTAAATCTCTATGGATAGGGCTGCCAGACTAATATTCTCACCTGGTGGAGCTCGATGGGCAGTAGGCGTGGGCAGTTGGGCAGCGACGCCGAACCCACCAAGTTTTACTGGAGCGCAGTTGTCTCTTCCAGCGAGTAGCACGCAGTGCGGCCTAACATCACGATGGACTATGTCATTTTCATGACAGTAACGTAACGCTTCAAGGATCTGACGCATGTAATGGCTGGAAATAATTAAATGCTTTATTAAATCCAAATAAATTTGTTACATTATGGTTGTGAATGTTACTTTAGTTTTAAAAATCATAGTTTACTATCATGAAATATTATCCTAAAAACAGATTGAAAACTTCTTGAAGTCTTGCCACCCAAAAAGAGTGGCAAAGGGTGTATTATTTGAAAATGTCCAATATCTCGAAAACCGTGACTTTTACTTAACATAAAACATATTACATTTACACATTGTTTATGCCACACCCTGTAAACGTATTAGTAATGATATGAATTTATATAACAAATTTAAATTGGATGCCTTTATGGCGACATAAGCCTCAACCATTTTCTTCCACTTTTCCTTATCTTAACTAAAAAATTCTTCGAAAAAAAATTGAATAGCTGTTGGCTGTTTATATACACTGTGTGCGTAGCAACCCCAAGCACTAATTGAATTTTCTTTTTTAAGCCCATTTTTAGGTAAATATTGTGCTAATGTTAGACAAAAATCAGCTGCTTGTCTATGAAATTATATGCCCAGTTACAAAGATCAAGAATGTTACAGAGCTTTCACGCCACTGGATAATTATTATTGTTTATTTGTATTGAAACCAGTTGCATAAACTAGAACTAATGGGTGCGTGCATAAATAATCAGAATTAATGATAGTGAAATTTTATCAGCATATAGCAGTTCTTAAATCCAAGACCTCTAGAAGTAATGAATGTAAATCTAAGATCAGGTAGATGTGTGTAACATGAGGGCCAACAATGTAAGAGATTGAGTAATTTACCATGCAACAGCCTCACTGTAGACAAATCCAGCAGTTGCTCTTCGGACCACCTCGAAACACAGATCAGATCCATCCATACTGAAAACATATTTATAATTACACACTTTATTTTAACACCTATTTAAAAACATCATATTATAAAAGATCTTGAGGAAATATGCAAATGAAATCCATTAAGGAACAAAATACTAAAAATGTGTTAAAATACAATAATATTTTGTAATATTTACTATGCAATTCCCAATATAATAATAATATAAATAGTTTGTATAAATTTTAATCATTAATATAATTATTTGGGAAAAAGGTTTAGAATATCACTAGGTCCGTTGTGCGTATATTATTATTTGGGAATTAACGTAAATGTTAATTGAAGATTTTAGTATAGAAAGCAAGTATGTATGTAAGTCACTTACTATTCAAAGACCATGTAGAGCATTCCTTCTGAGCTGTAGGTTTCTAGGAGTTCCACAATGTGTGGATGCTTCAACATGTGGCATATTGTTGCCTCTCGCTTTAAATCTGCAAAATAGTGTAGTCCTAAATTAAATTATCTGATATTGACAGAAATGTCTTGTTGTAGTGTTAGTTTTCTAAAACTATTTTGCAGTTATGCAATAACATTCATGATATAATTAAATTCTAAGCGTAAGTAAAAATTTATTAACTGTCATTATTAGAAGTCTCCCTAAAAGCTAGGTACTTTTGTAGAGCTCTGTTTTAAATAGAAAATCCTACAAATTCAAGTTATGTGTAAAGAATTCTTTACATAGTAAACATAATCTTAAAATAAACTGAGTCTAATTTTAATTGAGTTTCATAACAACAAAGTCTTGTTAAATGTGATTATAGGATACATTCAATATAATCCTATTAGTGAGCACTTGAAGTTTATTCAATCAAGGATATGAGACTAAATCTGTACTGCAAACTGAAATCTTTTACAAACAGATAAAGTATGTATGTCATTAATGACTTAAAATATGTGTTAATTTAACAGATGTGTCTATAAGAATAATAATGTAAGTTTTCAGTAATTCCAGTTTTAAAACTAGGCTCTGCTTGGTTTGTATTTTGTGTACATCACAAGGGGACCATAAGAAAAATGCCTTTATACTAAAAGTTTTCTAATTCGGTACCCCAAAACTAAATTTCATTCTCTAATATATTATGCCATATACACTTACATTTCTAAAACTAAACATATACAGTGTTGCAACATTGTAGATTCCATTTCTAATATAGGTCAAGTGACAGTTTATTGTATTATAAGTGATTTGGTCAAATTATGTAAAGATTATGGAATAGAGTATCAACTTCACTACCATTCATGTAGAAACCTTTTTCACATTCTAATAATAAAAATATTCTTAGTTGAATACAGGTAAAGGGATTGTAACATAACTAATTTTATAAACATTAATAGTAACCTGCAGTGCTCAATCCAGGGCTTGCTGTAAAACGGGCAACATCAACAATCTTCACTGCAAATTGCTGAGCTGTTTGTCTGTGCACACAGCGTCTAACAAGACTAAATGGACCCCTGTGATTGAAATGGTAAAAAATGGGGTTTAATTATAATAGTTTATTACTGGACTCATTCTTTATTATATTAATTCAGTTGATTGTATTAATGTTCATGGTAAAACATTAAACAAAAATTTAAGACTGATAGGGAAAATAGGTTATTGAAAGTTGAACATATAAGTTATACTAACAGAAATATATTGAAGTAGGTATATTTGTTGATCATAATATATTTCTGACTTTATATTTTTTTTATTAAAAGAGTACAAAATTATTTAAAGTAAGTCTATGTAAAAATAGCCATATTTAATATGTTCTTTATAAAAATATAATTCGAAAAAAGAACCTCTCAATATTATTGCTACAACTTTAAATTACGAAAACAAAATATTCTCTATTCCATTTTCAAATTTTACTTACTTGCCAATGATTTCGCAAAGTTCATACACATCGTCGAAAAGCACTTCGTCTTCTGCCATTATTTATTATTTTTTTAATTACTACTTTAAAAGTATAAGAAAAATAACATTTTCACTTAGCACAGCCTTCAACCCCGATACGAGGTTACGCCCAGGGACATTTTCCAAGGATTTAAACTTACAAGGACACTATATAGGTACCACTTTAACACAACAATTTTATATGATAAATTGTATAATTTTAAGAAGAAGTAAATATTCGAAAATGAGGAAGGTATTTAGTATTTTACTGGAAAAAGATACGAGCAGCAATAGATTGGTACATTTATATTTAAAATTGAACACTTTTACAAATATGGATCTGGTGCGAAAAATTACCACTATTTGGTTTCAAACAATATCGTAGATAGGTATTTTGGTTGCGTATTTAAAAGACACATTTAAAAGATTTTTATTCGGTACCTCGTACCAATTTTCTATTTACTGATTTGGAATTTTGACATTTACGATTGGAAGGAAACCTTTGATCTTTAGTGTTGTGAATAAGTGTAGTGTTGTTCTTCTTTACAGTTTTTAATATTCTGTGGTTGTATAGCACTGTGACAATTTTATTAAGGGTAATGTGAACAACGTGAATTTAATTTTTTTTTGTAACTAAGAAAACTTAGAATAGAATGTTAATATTCATTAAATTGTCTTTTTCTGTATATTTTATATGTTTCCACCGTTGTTATTGTTTTTTTTGTTTAACTTTACATTACTTTTGTGAAATTAAATTTAAATAATTATAATAATATAATGTAGTATGAACTTAGAAAGTATTTGTACAATATGAGAAATATAACATAACAGAAGAGTAGCATAGTAGTCATATGAGTAATTACGTTATGTCGTTAAAGTATGAGTAAATGAAAAAGAAACTGAAACTTCTGTCAAAAATTCAAAATTTTTACTTACCTCTATCGATCGAATTGTCAACTTTAGTTAACAACTTGAAGAGGACATTAAGCTAGTAATATAGACGGCAGTTATTAGTAAGTTGTGGTGGAAGGGACAACTGTCTCAACGGTCGGAACTATGGGTCGGAGTATCAACAAATAACTTAGAGTAATGTAAGCCGCCCTCAACATGTTTTAAAGCCGAATAGATATATCGATAGTGATTTTATACGATATTTTTAATACCCATCTTTCCCTCAAAGAAAGGCTCCGCACTGAATTGTTACAGGTAGCAAGTGCAGAGTTTTTTCACATAATTGCCAATGCTTTTCTTTCTAGAAATCCCGCGAATTTTTACAATTATCAACATACAAATCTACTATACACGGCAAGTATATTCGTTTTAGTGAAACCGAGTTTCGACGATAGATAAATTACCCCTAACGTTAATATTATGTGACAAATCCTTTATCAATGGCTTCTTTTTAACGTTATGGAAAAATTCTAACATAGTCCCCGTTCCAGAAGGAGGTGTTGCTGAGAATATTCAAAATTCTATGTTTGTACCTATGTTTTGATGGATTGTATTTATATGGATTTCAACAAGGCGTTCGACAGTGTGGACTACTTACTGAGTGTTAACAAGATGGATTAATAGGATTAAGAGTACATATGGTAAAGTGTTAAACTGGTTTTTAATTTTTACGGGGTTTAACGGCCAATGGGTAACAATCGCGGTCTGGTTTTACTTTGTCTGGTATACCTCAGGGCTCACAATTATGTCCTCTAATATTTCTTTTAGTCATAAAATATGATTTTGCCAAATGTATTCATTACTCTAAGTTTTAATTATTCGCTTATAAATTATAAAACGATTAATGATAGCAATGACATTAGCCTCGTGCAGGATCTTCATCGCAATTTTTTATGGAGCATTTCTAATCAACTACCATTAAGTGCTAATAAATGCAAGTTCATAACGCTATCAAGAAAGCGTTTACTAAAATTTAATGTAAATGATTAATCAGCATTTGAAAGACTTAACCCAGATGCGGGATTTGGGAGTCATTATTGAGAGCAGGTTGACTTTTGCTTAGCATTCACAAAATTTAGGTTACTTGATTTTATTTTAATTATTAAAACATGCATATTAAAGTATTGTTAAGAGTAAATGATAGGAATTTATTAATTTTATTGAATGCTATCGCTAGGGAATTTCTTATAACTCTTATTATTATTATGTACAGCTTAGGTTAAGAATTATTGGTTATTTAATATTACTACAAAACTTGTTAAATGCCCAATTCATAATAGCACGATAATTAGGTATGTAAATACTTAATTTTACAATCAATTATTAAACAATTTTTTACTTAAAATGCAGTGAAAGTAGCACGCCATTCACGAAACATTTGAACGTCTTCCTACAATTGTTTTTGTAGCTAATAAATATTTATCGTCTGAATATAAAAAAAGTTAGATTTTTTAAATGAAGAATTCGTAAGTTTTAGCTTCTTTCTAATTCTAGAAATACCAAGTCACCATTAGGTACCTATAATTCTAGGTAGGTTTATTTTTAAGGCATTATGGACGTGTGGAGGGGTAAGTTACGTCGTACGCTATTACTTTGACTAGCAGTGTTTATTTTTTTATTTACAGCCCATGCATGGCCAAACTAAGACTAAAAATAACATAAAACTATAATAAAATACAATGAAGCTATTTACAAAATTGACAGTTAATGCTATCCTCTTATCCTCTCCAAGTGTATTCTCAAATCACAGTATACTACCCCCATACGCATCCCAAATAGGTCGCTCTCCGGTGAAGAGTGTTGTCTCCACATCACGTCCAACAATCGTGATTACGTGAGCTCACTTTCAGCTCCTACATAAATTATTGTACAAGATGAGATTGATTGTATTTGATTGATATATACCGGTCGTACTGGAAATTTAAGAGGTGAGGCTTATTTCCAGCAGTGGACGTCAACAAGCTGAAACGAACGAACGAACGAATGATTGATATCTAGCGACACAATCTACGGCTACAATCATTACGATGACGTCATACCCTGATCCTGTTAACAAAGCTATTAATGCTATCGATTTATAAAATTTTTCGACCTTAGCCACTGGATCCTTCGGGTCGGCCAATCGGTGGTTAGACTGGTGGACTCCTCCCTTTAGGTTGGAAATGAGTGACCTTCTTTACTCCACAGATAAGTAGCAATATTATTGTTAAATACGTATTAGAGTACACACTTTTTATTATATTTATTTAGCACTGCCAAAATAGCTAACATAGTTTCCCAACCTTTTCGTGCCACTTTAGCCTTTCTAAACCCCCCTCCCCCCACTACAAAAATTATTTATGTTACATACAACATTTTTAAGATAAATTAATTGAATTGTTCACTTAAGAAACTTAAATGATATGTTTTAGTAAGAAATTACTAGGAAATTGGTTCGAAACACACTAAGTTAAATTTTCAAAACATAATGAAAAACTGAAATTCAAAAAACTTTAATACATTTTCGAATTGCCCCCTTAACAATCGAATTGCCCCTATTGTGACGTAGGCCCCACACTGGTTTAGATACTTATGGACACACAGGTCCTGTTTTCTTTTCCCTACGACCGATGTATTTGCTGTTGGTACCTATTATGTATTAAGTCTCGTCTATAATTATAAAAAAAATTGTTACCTGCATACGGTATGCTTATTATATTATTATATTATATGATAATAAACAAAGTATGAAAGTACCGACGGCAGTGGCATCTGCCGGGCTGATTTGTGAATATAAACCATCCATGGCGCCACCCAAACGCATACAAAAAAATCATTCAAATCGGTCCAGCCGTTTAAGAGGAGTTCAGTGACACATGTACCGTAGAATTATACATATAAAGATACATCTACTAAGATATACAACCAATGCATTTCTATTAGATAGTTGTTAGTTGCATGGTGTTATTATAACTTATTTTCATTTATCTCGTATCTATTCTGCTTCACAAAAATATTAAGTGTTTGTTAAGTAGGTCAAGCTTAAAAAGAGGACATGCGCATAATGATACCTGTTCAGAATATAGGCAAGGCACCTAAATAATTAATGACGTTTAGAGATTGCTGTATGTTTTGTAAGGTTATTTTAATTTGGTAATTCATAAGCCAAATATTAATATTGTTGATAAATATAATATAATCAGCCTCTAGGCACATTATACAAACATTACATAACATTTCGAATTAAGAATTGATTTAAAGACAAGTTTATTACTGTGTTTTAAATGTAATTGCTTTATTTACTGGGTTGAAAAAAAGTCGTGTTGATTTTTATAGAGTTTTATTTAAATGATAAATAAATTATAATAATGTCGAATTTAATACTAAAGAGTCTGCTGTTTAGCTAACAGGTTATTATGTAGATTTATCATTCATTAAATTAAAAAAATCTACGCAAATAACACGGTGCTTCGAAGTGTACTTAACAAAGTAACAATACATTGAGTAATTAAACTAAATTATTTAGTGTCATCAAGTTTTACAGTGAATGGTTGCATTGATTTTTCGTTGGAAATATTCACAACTTGGTACTGTAAGAATATATTCTGAATCCGGAGTGAGTGTGTCCCCAGAAGCGTTGACATTCACTTTGTAGCTGCAGTGATAATCCAATTCATACAACTCGAACGATGTTTGCTGAAAAGAATAAATACGAATTATCTTATATATTATATCTTTGGGGTGGGAAGTGGAGGCATTGGTAAAAAACGCTGAAGGAGTAAGGTCATCATTGCCTAGAAAAAGCCAATTAATCTTATGTTTTTCTGGAACCCTAGTGTAAGAACCCTGACCAGTCCAAGTCATCCAAGTAAACCCTACCAACCCAAACCAATTACTGTTAAGTTGGTAATCGATCCCAGGATCTCCAGTCATATATTTAAAGGCAATAATCATTTGTTCAATAAGTTAATCACTATTATACTGAATAGTCTTACCGCAGTGATCGCTGAAAGATTTTTAACTTCCTTTATTGGATGGTGGCACTTGAATGTCCTCCAATGTACATAAAATCTGAAAAAGTTGACACAGGTAAAATCTATCAAATCAAGTGTAAGTTGGCTTACCCGCTGAATCTGTTTCTAGTTTTGAAATATACATAAGAGGCATTGGGAAGGATTTTTATTATCATTCTCGTGTCAATTACAAATAACTAAGAGTGGCAGAACACTAGTTTTACAATTTAATTAAAATTCAATAATAACTAATCATAAACTTCACTCATTTTAAATACTAATGAACTATTTTTTTTATGAACCCCTGTTCATAACAGACGGGCAGGAGGCTCACCTTATGTTACACATAAGGCGCCACCGCCCATCGACACTCAATGCACTCGCAAATTCGTTGCCGCTGTTTTCTTGAAGGACCCTAAGTCTAAAAACTGTCTTAAATAACGCTCAGTTGAGGAACGACGGACGTCGAGGTGATATGCGTGGAATTTCGTATTCTGCATTGACGTCCGATGATGAAACTCAGCTGTAGTTATTAATCCGAAGAAATACTCTGAACATTCTCCATTTAAATACGGTAGAAGATACAGGGAGACCCCACATCTCTACGCAACACTCGGATCAAGCCGCTTGCAAAGTGTCTAGTCGAAATCGGAATGGGTTTTATTTCTCCAAAAACTACAATTATATTTAAGAACCCAGACAAACTATATTGTATATAGGTAACTGCAAAAAAATTACTTGTGTAATATACTACCTTTTCGGTTGTTTATCCTTTGCTGCGCCTATGGGTTGCCATGCAATTCTTGCTTTTACTCTATGGTCTTCCCATAGAAACCTGTTTAATCTCACACCTGTAATTTTCTTATTGTCTTTTCGTTTTTGTAGTGATTCCGGTGGTCTTTCTGGAATGAGATAAAAAGTTTCACTATTTTTTTTTACTACTTGACAGTATTATAGATTATACAACACTGCTGAAACTGGATCTCATTGTAGCCGTGAAGGAGCAGACGTAACCTCTGTATCGCGTATTGGGCGGATTAGACCCGGTATTACCGCATCCCAACAGCTTTTAATAGGTCACAGTATTCATAGTAGCGAGTCCCAAAAAACACTAAGCAGTCGCACCATGTGTATGTATTTCCACAAGTAAAACAATTTTGGAATAACATATATTGTAACATAAACACAGAAAACACGTAGGAAATTACATTAGGTCACGTGACCATTGCCAAACAAATTTGTTAGGCGTTAGTGGGTCACGTCACTCACGTTTAATACCTATACATGATACATCACGCCCCAAAATACATCATGATATTATTCAATTCCTTGGTTGAAAAACTAAAATATAAAAGACGAAAATTAAGAATATTTGTTTCTAAAAATATTTCTTTACTATAAATAATTATAACTATAAAAATACGACTGACAAATAAGAATACTTAACTTAATGAACTCATTACTTTTTATCTATAAAGCTTAAATAGCCGTTACTAACCTATATTTTAGCTTGCAGGTACATAAATTGGACTTACCGCCTGCGCCACTAGTTGTGTTGTAGAAAATAACAGCCTTTTCACTGCGGAGTTTTCCCAATCCAAATAAGCTTATTGTTTGAACTTGGAAAAAGTACAACGAGTTGGGCTGTAGATCATTTATTTCTACGTAATTTTGTTCCTGTAAATAAGTATTATAAGTAAGTTAATCAGTGATTTAGCGACCGTTAAATCGATAATGTAATGTTTAGGCTCCTTTTTGAACCCTTTACGGCCTACTGGAGACTAGATTACGACTAACACCACTAATTTCAGAAATATTGTTTCATTTACTATATCCAAAGATTGTGAAGTGTACAAAATTTCAAGTAGCTGACCACGATGGCTGGGATGGTCAAGTTATGTAAATAATGTAAAGAATTCGTGGTCATTTAAATGCGTAGACCAAAAAATAAAGCAGAAAAATAAAAGAAAGTGCTTACTTTTGTTTTCTTGTTATTACTTAATTAACACTACTTGAACAATGAAACGGTATTGTAACTTTTCACGGAATGTGCACTTAAACCGCTAATTAGCCTACTTTGACGAGTGAAAGAGCCCTTAACTAATATGAAAATATGTTCACAGTAAGATGTTAATTTTTCGCAATATGAATGTAAAAAACTGCATTTTTAAAGGCACTGTAAAATCATTTTTCTGTATAAAATATAGAATTGTTTTAAATTGTGTTAAAATTATTATTTAACTTGCCATGGTACAACAAAGGTAAAGAAAACGTACATAATATATAAAGAAAACGGTGATTTATAGTGTGTCCAGAACACCTAATAGAAAAGACACCAATATAACTTTATAATTTATATATACATCGTAGTCGTAAATTATAATTGTTATGTCCCATACACAGTAATCTAGCCAATAACTAATACATTAATAGTACCTTTGGTACAGTCTGATGATTAACAAGCACTGAATCCAGTTCGCCACCCAAGCCTCGCACCCGTCGACTCCAGAACACTTTATATTTCATCACCGGTAAATCTGAACGAGGTTCCTTCCATTCCAACTTTACCGTGACTGTACCTAAAACAGCATTTACTTTATGAAAAAAATCACCATTTCGTCGTTTAACCTAAATGCCATACTCATTAAGCGAAAGAATGAATCTGCTTCGGGGGTACATCAAGAAATTTAATGCGAGCGCTTAGAAGCAGAGTACTGATATTTACTATCGTCATATAGATTGCTATTATGCATAAGTGACAGCTTTAAATGTATTAATTAAATCTAGGAGGTCAATACAAAAATAAATATAAGTTAGTGAGTGCCCGACTTAAACGCTGACTGTCGCGGCCCGAAGTCGAAGGCTAAGGTAGAGAAGTTATATATGTATATATCTTTAGCTTTAACTACATTAGCGCGTTTCAGGATATGATGCCGTCACAGTGATATGTATGTATAAAATGTATGTGTCGCCATTATATCTGTGTGAAATACACTTACCATTTTGGGATCGAACGGGCCGTACTTTTAACTTTTTCGGTGGAGGCGGGGGTCTTGGTCCCTTTCGTGGTGTAAAGGACGCGCTTGGCTCCGAGAACCCTCTGGTTCCAGAAGCACTGACTGCAGCCACTCGAAACCGATACCAACGACCCGGTTTCAATAGATTTTTTAAAGATACTTTTGTTCTGTGGAAGGAGTATTTCGTTAAAATTTGATTGTAAACACCAGCAAGCCTACCCAACAAATTGTGGTTTTCGAGCCCGAATTCATTATTAAGTTGTTTTACCACATAGTCATAGAGTAGCTTGAGAAGATTTCTTGAGAGTATAATACAAAAATGTCTTTTAATTTTTCTTTCATAAACCAACTTTAGAATCCAATTGTAAGAATATATGTACAGTTCATATGAGTAAGGAATATCTTTTTTATTTACCGCATCACTCTATATTGCCATACATTAGGAGTATCTTCGTGCAAGATCATAGTTCCTTAGAAAAGCCAATCCCAATATGTTTGATTACCTAAAGTTTCAGTGTCTTAAGATAAAATGCTTCTGTAAATCTGTGTATACTAAGTGTGATTGAGTGTTTTTTGGAAAGAGCTATTATAAATGATAAGTAAATGCCATTTGTCTTCAGTTACTCCACTGCCGTATTGTTTTACGCAGGGATTTATTTCCTAACGTGAGTAACGTTATATGCTAGAGCTTTTATTATTTTGTTCTAAAAAACATGAGATTTTTTACTGCTTCTGCAAAACTTAGTTTTTTCCAAAAATTATTTCACGCTTGCGATTTAAAAAAATTTGTACCTACAAGTTTACTCATTATTCGCATAACATACTATTAACTAAATAGAGTGAATTAATGCCGCTAGAGTACCTGGTGTTACCAAAATAAATAAGTTAGTTATTAATAAATAGATCCTAGCTAATTAATAACGTATACTATTAGAATTATATTAAACTAAATTATTAATCTTTTGACTTATGATCTGGAAAAGATTATTGATAAAGAAGTTATAGCCTGCTAACCTTTGTCGGCGCAGGTAAAAGTTACCGAGAAACAAATTTATTCTTCAAAACGTTTGATTGACAGTCAATTGATCGAAATGGGCGCGATGTCTCGATACGTATCACCAGGAATTCATAGACAGAATTCATTTAAGTAATCGTGACCACATCGATTTTGTATTATGCAATTGCGTTGTAACGTAAAAATGTTTTCACGCAACGCGGAAAATAGAAACGAAAGTGATTATAAATCAATTGTGTTCACATACACTAAACTCTTTCTTTAAATACAATTAAATATTGTAATGATAAATAAAACATGTGTATAAAATTTAGTTATAAAATCTATACTAATATTATAAACAGGAAAGATTTGTATATAAATATGTGTGTAACGAATTGGCTCAAAAAGTACTGGACCGATTTTAAATTCTATCACCATTTGAATGCTACATTATCTATCACTGATTAATATAGGCTATTTTAATTGCAAGAAAAAATAAGGAACCCTACTAAAAGTACAATAATGTAATTAATATGGTGTAAAAAAATGCCTCTAAAATATCATATCATGCGTTGCGTAAACTACAATTTTTTTTTTAAATAAATGTCCACCCGTGCGAAGCCGGGACGGGCCGCTAATCTAATATAAAATAACATAACAGAACGCTAACTTCAAGCATTAGATTTCTTTTATAACTTTATTACAATATAATATAAACTTCTATTTACAAATAAAAACCTGATCGAATAGTAATCTGTAAATGCGTCTTAAATTGATGTTTATCTTCGTAAACAAAAGAGATCGAAAAAACAAATATTCCGGGTTCACCGATTCAAGTCTATGCCGGAACCATGCAGTCTGATACTTTACGAGTATTGTTTATGTCTTTACAAGCCTTGTGTATAAAAAGATTACGATAAATCAGTGCTATTAATAAGGCGATCGCAAAAAACGAGCCTCATAAGATGAATTAAATCTGTTGTTATATTAGATCGAGGACGTGCGATTTCTTTTACACCTCTATTGAATGTATAACGTTTCCAGTAATTGTCTTAATATGGACACTAAAAAATAATATACACAAATAAAAGTGTTTTTTGTTAAAGTAGTAAAATGTGCTATTAACCATACAAACACTATGTTGCAACATTCATATGTGACCATTTAATTATCTAAGCTATCAGATGATTTGATTGTACCGTATTTAAATATGTATAATGCACTCGATGATGCGAATCTGATACACTGGTTGCATAATAAGTCGACAGCGAAGTATAATAATTGTATCATATACATAAGAGGCTAATGTTTATATTCTACAAAAAGGACTTTTGAAATCGTAATTGCTTAAGCTCCTCAATAAATAAATTATGTGTATGTGTAATAGTTTTTTTTATGAATAACGTAATATAATAATCATAATATGTCTCTAAATGTGTTAAACTGGATTGAATGATGTCCAGTTTTATATTGGAAGGGCTATCGTCAAGTGACAAAATTATCTGCTCACAAACTAGTTGAAAAAAAAAACAGTGGCGCACAACCTTTAGTTTTCTGTATCTGATTCATGATCATTTGTCAATCTAATAGGCAAGTAGGTGATCAACCTCCTTTGCCTGACACAGGCTGTCGACTTTTTCGGTCTAAGGCAAGCCGGTTTCCTCACAATGTTTTCTTCCAGCGTTCGAGCGAATATTAAATGCGCACATAGACAGAACGTGCATTGATACACAGCCGGGGAACCTACGTCTTTTGGGATAAGAGTCGTACGCTGACGCTACAAGACCAACACTGCACAATCATAAAATCAAATACGTTTTTGGCATACAAAAGCCTTGTCATAATCAAAATCAAGAATCTCAGGGACGTTGGTAATATTATATTCCATTTTAGCGCTGGGTAATGCCCCCTTAAGTGATGTGTATTTATTTACTCGACATTGTTGCGTGTACATAGTTTGTTATACGCTTGAATACGCTCATTGATTTTCATACGGATAAAAAATATGAAATCATCTTAGTATTATGTAAATGATGATAACATTAGACCTGGCCATATACGCTTGGAAAAAAGCTATTTATTTTGTGTTCCTTCTATTCTTGCTAAGTGTCTCATTTACATCAGTCGATCTCCGAAATCAATTCTTATTAATTGGCAATATTTTTAGCCAAACAGTTCCTCTGACTTGACCCCTGTCCACTCTTGGATGTTCCGTAGCCAAGACATTTTGCACCTTTCCAACCAAAGAAGGGTTCTTTATGTTTTCCAAAGTCGGTACTGCTGGTTACGGAGAATGTGGCCAAGATATGAGACTTTCCTCTGCTTGATGGTACGGACAAGTTCTATGTTTGCGCATACGCTAAAAACTTCATCGTTTGTGTTCCTATATAAAACACTTCTATAAATTGCGCTTAAGTCTTACAAACATAAAAACATAAGAGCTAATAAGATTAATTAATTCGCAATAATACTTATGAAATTAAACAGAAATGCATTTATATCATTACCACTGTGTTAATACAAAAATCCGCAAAACGCTGCTACACTTATCAAGACTCAACATTCAACATACGTTTTGGAATACGATACTCTTCTTATAGCATCTCGCTCTTACCGATTCTGACGTTTTTGTTCACAATTTCGATCTAGTTCTCTTATGGTGCGTTCCACTAAGCGCTCACGACGATCAAAATGCTCCTTTAGCCATTCCACATACCGACCGCGGTCGTTGTGGTCACGGCGAAAACGTCACTCATGACGTCATGACTAATGCTCACGCAACGCTCACAACGACCCATCTAAAGAGGTGGGTCGTTGTGAACGTTGAGAATAATTTGGCGCAATTTTTGATTTTTTTTTTGAAATATGACAAATAATAATATTATTATATTCAAAGCTTAAAGATGGCGACAAGAAAAATCACATTATTTGATTCAGAAAGAGAAATTGTAAAGCCATTTCGATTATATTTAAACTTAAGTTGTTTGATAACTTCACCAGAATTATTTATAAAATATTCAATTATTCTTCACTTTTAACATAATAATAATAAATTTAAGTCACAAATATCAAAACTTATTGTTTATGATTACCTAACCTCCTTAAAATTCTACTATTTTCAAACTTGACATTTGTAATATTTACATGAACGCCCGAAACGCTCCATAATCCATTCCACTTGAGTTAACGACAGTAACATTCACAATCAAGTGGAATGGGGAAATCAGCGGTCGTGAGCGTGATCGTCGTGAGCGCTTAGTGGAACGCACCATTAGTATCTCCAGCGCTGTTGTCGCAAGTCGCAACCTTGTCGACAATGTCAATCGAGTCGGGAGTGTAATCGCTGTCACTATTGTTATGCAGGACCGTCGCTGGTCATCCGAGCCTTAGGTGATTTTTTATCGTATCGCAACCCTCGTGGTTGCGATTTAACGGTTAATCGCGTAACGCATTTTCCCACGATAATAAAAGTCTTTCTAGTTTGTAATCATGCTAAAGCTTGTAAAAACTAAATCAGTCTAATTGCTATCTTTTATCTAGAGTACCCTATCGTTTATTTCTGTTAAAGCGGATTTTCGCTGTCATGACAAGAGACAGATGGCTTTTATATAAATAAATTATATCTCTATATATATATATATATATAAAGTTCTCGTGTCATAATCTTCGTTAGCGAAACGGCTTGACCGATTCTTATGAATATTTTTATGCATATAGTCTGAGAATCGGCTACTATCTATATTTGAAACCCCTAAGTGACAAGGAGCGTCCACCCCATCATTTATTTTTTTTATTTTTTAGAAAAAAACTTTGTTTTTATTTTTTTATGATACAGCATACAAAAATACATACAACCCCTAATTTCACCCCTCTACAACAAACCCTTATTTTTTATTATAGTAATTTTTATTGAACTAAAAAAATGTTTCCTAGAAATGTCAGCTAGTTTAAATATATTTTCAACTTTTCAACTTGTCACTATGTGTTAGAGTGATAAGATTTCTTCCTTCCCGAACATTATGAAATTGATTCGAGTCTATATTTTTATTCATTGTCATAATACTCAATGATAATATCTATGAGATAGCATTAATAATTAATACGTACTTATTAGTTCTCGCAATCAAGTTCCAGTCGCCCAGCCTGGCTTCTTCATACTTCGGCCCTAAGTGATGCTGTTCTTCTAGAAGGTAGAGAACTCTACCCGGGACCGCTCTAGCAGAGTCACCAACACCATCTGACCATTTCACTAGAATCGAGCGTCGTCTTTCTTTCGCTTCTTCCATTGTTGGGAGTGCAGGAAGACCTAAAAATATTAACTTTTTAGACAAACCTGAGATATTATATATTGTTCTTTTCAAATAATATTTAAACAATATCTTTGTTATTTTTCTTTCCTGTATCTCATATATAGAGATAGTTCTCACGATTTCTTGAAATGTGAAACTCAAGTAAAAAGCCTATAATACAATGTAGTTAATTCGTATCGCTCTCATTGATATATTGATAAATGGCAAAACAAGCAAATTCTATTTTCGTAATAACTATATTATTTTTTAAACGCAATTTCTAAATCACGTTAACATCTACCAATGAAGGTATATTTCTTGTAAGTACTTGCTAGACAAGAACGGTCCGACTATAAAACGTGGGCTAAAGGTATGGTATTTTTTTAAATGGGTAATCGTAACCATGGCAACATACTCTATAATAACTTTATTTCTTGTTGTAAAGCCGAAAGTGTTCAATAATACAGAATATATCTGTTTTATACCCAAACGTGATGTTATGCATGTTCATAATGTGAAATTAACACAAAAGAACTAATGTTTTATTTGCTTTGACTGTAGTTTTAATGTAAACATTTTCATAAAGATCAGCCTTGCGATTCTGTAACTCACTTTTCGAACTCTCACAGCGGTTTTCGAAGCGGCGGTCGCGCTAAAATCAGTCGTGAAACAGTCATTTTACGATTTGGCATTCTGATAAGGAGGGAGCTTGTAGTTTATTGTTTATCAGTGTTAAAGTGAGTTACAGAATCGCAAGGCTGTAATCCTCAGTGGCAGGCAGAAATCAGCAGATGCAAATGTAGGGGCACATTTCTGCCTACGTCATGCACATTTATTTCTTAGGCTACAAACAGATATACCCGACACGTTTGCCTACAAACTGAACTTCATTCAATTTTTTTCTCTAAACCTACGAACGTATTGTGTTAATTATACATCTAGAAAACCCATTGCTGCACAACCCAAGTTCGAATACACGACCTCCCGCTTACGAATCACAAGCTAAACACAACTATTGTAATAGCGTGTACACTTGTGTACTTAATTAAATATTAAGTGTGTTCCCTACTACAACCAACTGATTTAATTTTTTGTATTTACATTTTACCTGGTATTGTATGCAAGTCAACCGGTTCATTACAAGATGAGCTGCAGCCCAACTTGCAGCATCGCTGGGTACCATCACATTGAGAGTCCTGGTTACATGCCTCCACACATGCAGCCTGCCACCTTGGGCTGTCTGACTTGGGGCAGGTCCCGGGTTTCAGTTCTCGTGCCCGGCATTCTGATCGACACTGAAAATTAAATAATATAATTAAGAGTTAAGAAATGGTTGTATCAGATTGTAGATTTATGCATTTCAATTAAAAGTCATGGCAAGAACTGCGCCCTTACTGTGGAAACATCCAATAGCAGCAGCGATACTGATCCCGAAGTTCGCAAGTTCCATGTAATTACCAATACGATGTCGCAGCAAAACTCGCGTGGAACAAAAACTCATTATTGGGATCGCAATCGCTGTCAGCATTGGAAGTTACTGAGTAAGGGCTCTGTAAATCCACTGCCAGTTAGGTAAAACATACCATGGTAGCCTTTTATTTCTTAAAATATTACAATTAAGTAATTATGATAAGTACACATTCTTAACTCTACTTTTAGAACCCCATAGGACAAAGGCTTCCTCCAACCTCTTCCAAAGTTCCCATCATTGAGCTTGCCGGATTTATATGCCGTCGGCCAGCAAATATACCATAAAGTTACATACCGCTTACTGACCAAAGCGAGTTTGTAAATAATATATCTCAATTTAATCCTTTACACAAGGTCACTTTTAAAGTAAATTGTGAAGGAATTAGTGGCACAAGTTTCCAAACATAATCATGATTTATAACATCAAAGTATAGCAGTATCTACCCGTTTCAAAACCATAACTGCAATTCAACCGAGAATCTCTGACTGAGGGGGTGAAGTAAACAAAATGAACCAAGTTTTAATAACTAAAACAGAGGTGGGCCTAATGTAATTATAGTTCCAGGCAAAATAATATTGCGTTATGTGAGAGATCGCGCAGCTACACAGGAAACATACTCGTAGTTTTATATATTAGGTCCTTACATATGAAAATGACGTTTAATAGCCTTCAAAGATTTAATTAATTCCCGTCCGAATGTTTATTTTTAGTAAGGGGCAATATAATATAATATGGCAAAAGTGCATGGATAGCAATGGGACATACTTTGATTAATTAAATCCAGTCAAAATCTGTTATAACGGCATCGAAGGGACTACTCATATTTGGTCGTAAAAGCCGATAGTCATAACATTCGATGACATTGTTATTAAGTACCTAATACATAGAATTCAGCCGGGACCTATGATTTTGGTAAATATAACGGGTATGTTGTTCTAAACGATGTCGTCGTAAACGGTTTTGACTGTATATGAATTTCATATGTAAGGACCTAATATTTTATACATTTTGCATCTAATACAATTTTGCTTTATAAAGAATTTAATTTTGTACTGCAGTGTAGCCCTTCACAAACCAAGGTTTTAACCCCTTCGTGTTTTGAGTAGTTTTAATTCGTATATAACTACTACTGATAACAAATAAAACTATCCACACTTAGTTCAAACTTCAAGAGTAACGAGCATGATATGTAATTGGTTCACGTGACTATCATAAATCTGTTTGAGGTGTAATTAAAAAACTTTACGGAACATCGGTTAGAAGTTAGAAACCTTTGTTTATGGATCTGCTAATTGGAAAGAAAATACCAATTATTTCTAAACGTTAACGTAATAATTAGAAGGTAATTATGCACATGAACGAGGCATAATGATCCTTTGATGTGAAGTGACTCATGTAACTGTGCGTTTAACATTCAACCAATTACGCAATTTATTCTGGTGTCAATGGCTAAAAATATATATCACTAGCTTCTACTCGTGACTATGTCTGGTGAGAGTTTCTTAGTTATTTTACGCTCGTAGCATTAACCTATATTGATGGAAAATGTGTTTTTCGAAACAATTGGGTTTTCGAAAAAAATTTTTTTGGGATAAAGGGAAAATTCAATTTAAGTGCTTTTACATTATGACGTCACAACATGGTGATCGATCATTGATGGCGCGTTTATAGTCACGTGATTTTTATTTAAATTTCATCAATTTTTAATTGTTTATAATTAATTGAAAAATATTTTTTTTAAGTTTTTTGCATTAAACATCAATATTATTAACAATAAAGTTTTACAATACATTTTTAAAAAAACAATTAAATGAAAGTTCACTTTTGTCAGTTTTTTCGCCACTGCCTTAGGAAGCGTTCAGTTGTGGAACGACGGACGTTGAGATGATACGAGTAGTAATTCGTATTCTGCCTTGACGTCCGATGATGAAATTAACTGCAGGTGTTCCGAACAAGTCTTTTGAACACAATTTATGTGTTCAATATTGTTGACTCTTTGACAGTTTATGAAGCATTAATTGGAAATTGGTATTGCTTTTACAGATTTACCCAGTATAACGATAAATGTCTTTCAAGCAAACAAAAGCTAGTTTTTACGTCAAAGTAATATTTTAATTTAAAGCCCACTTGCTAATTATCAGTTACGTACGTCACAGCTTTATTTTCGCTTGGGAACTAATTGGATGGTTAAAGTGTAAAAGTTAATACATTTAAGGGCTGCGTAAAATGTTATTTTATTCGTGAAATTTTATTTAATCAGTTAAGTAGATGCAAAATAGGTTTTAGTTAAAATAATTTATTTCTTATATAAATATACTTTTGTATATCAGAACTTATAGTAACGTAAATTAATCAATAAAGCTTTTTTTAATCCTTGGGATTGATTTGCTCCAGTTCAAATATGTTTGACTGCTCTGTCTTGCAAACAATTTGTATGACTCAAAACTTGGTGATTAAAAAGACTGGCGGAGCATTTCTTGCCAGTCCTTCTTGCCCGCTCAACGCCCTTGAACTGGTAGTAAATTTAGAATCAATTTAACATATTTTCTGTTGATATTCATAAGTGTACTTGGTTACCTATATGAATAAAGTTACTTTGAGTTGGATTTAATTAACTAGGTAAAATAATATACGAACTAGTTACTTAAACTTATACAAACTACAGTGTAGAAGCTTGTGGGTAATAAAAGAGCTCCTGCTATAGATCTTGAAATGATTTGTCTTTATGATTAGGTTTACATTAATGAATGCGTATTTTTACAGGCTTATCAATGTGTCTATGAATGAGAACGACGAACGAGGTAAAAGGAGTGTCAGAGTAAAGTTTACTTAGAGTTTGTTGTTAGTTATTGTTAATTGTATTAAGTTGCCGATATCGCAAATATGTTCAAAGTTTAAAGGCGGCACCGCATAGATTCATCACGTACTGATAACGCAGTACAGTTGTAAGCTTTACAAACTAATTCATATTAGGAACTTGAAAATATAAATAAATCAGTGGCGCTACAACCTTTTTAGGTCATGGCCTCAGCTTTCTGTGTGTGTTTCATTTTTTTGTTAGCCAGATAGGTACACACCGTCAACATTCTGGTTCTAAGGCAAGCCGGTTTCCTCGCCGTTCGAGCGAATGTTAAATGCCGAGCCGTGGATCGAACCTACGACCTCAGGAATGAGAGTCGGACTCTTATGTCACTAGGCCAATACTGCTGTCATTTATATCGTTCTAATTCTATAATTAGTGTAGATGTTTTTAATTCAATTTGTATCACGTCTGTCTCTATATCTACGAGTTATCAGACCAGTGTTCTTGATCATACTTATTACGTTTTAACGGTCAAAACAAATATAAAGGACAGTGTTTTTTGTAGAACTTTTGAATAGATGTATGTTGCTTCAAAAGGAGTCTCTTTAGGCAAGGTTCCGAAGATACTGGCACCGTTACCCCTTTGAATAGCTAGATTAATTCTTTGTCCGAGGTAGCTGCCAGCTCTTCGATCTCCTGTCGTATAGCGCTAGGATTCCACGGACCAAGGGTCTCGACACCGTATAGGACAAAATCATATTCGGAGACCCCTGTATTTGCATGCTTTAGATTTTTCAGCCGCTTCACAAGCCGCACCAGCTCTGTTGTTGGTTCCATGTAGATGAAGATGGGAAGGGGCCATCATTTCTGAACAGGTTGTATCCTATAGCAGCACCCACCCATCTTCCATATAATCAAACTCATACCGTCCGGTCTCTTGCCATCGTCTCTTGCAATACCAGTCAGTCCAAGTAGACTTGGCACGTTGACGGTGGCAAGAGACCGGCTTATGATATCGTTGAGTGCGGCATGTCTCGAGAAGCGGCCTGCCCTTTTTTGGCATGACTGTCCGTGATGTCCTAGCTTGTCGACAAGCAAATAGTCTTATATATAGAGCTGTTTCTGCATGGCCATGTCCCTTATTCATGCTTACCTTTGTCTTCGTCTCTTTGCTTGCATCAAGACATATTAAGTCACATCTTGTCTTCGATAGCGGATCCGTTTGCAGTCTGGAATATCGCCCGCCTTTTCCTAGCGCAACCGGTACCAAACTAATCGCGATACATATCAAAATAATCGATTTCATTCTGAATATATAATCAATTTATAACTGAAAAAAAATATAGATTTAATTAAATGTCATAAAGACGCAATAATGGCTAATAAAATCGGAGATAAAATCTGATTTGATTCCGAATATTTCGGTGAAGACATTTTTGACACACGATTGTTAATTAATGCATTTAATTGCAAAAATTAATCTTATCCAACTCTGAATTTTTCACAGAATGAATTAGTATCTAAACAAGTGTAGTTCTTTCAGTACTCTCCATATAATCATTTCTAAATAGGTTAACAAATTATTATATTTATTACAAAGATAAATAGAAAACTGAAAAAAAGTTTGATCCCTGTGGTACTTGTAATGCTGGCAGCATATCTGATTTTTATTACAAATTAATTATAAACAGGGCCTTCCAATTTGGTCTATGGTAGACTTATGTAAATTTCTACTATATGACTTAAATAACCATTAACTCTTAATAACCGACTCAGAGTAGGACTGTAAGACCGCATATTTTTTATAATTTATTAGCTATAATAACTAATCTAATTTACTAAATTTAAATACTAATTCACGAAAAGATAATTTAGTCATAAAAAGAGACTATTATGAATATAAACTAAGACTATATAACTGAAACTGTATCCACAGTCGAACGAATTACACAAAACATTCACCTCATAACATTCACTCATCAATTAAAAATATCAATGAAAGCTCGCATATCGAGTGTCATCGACCCGAGTCGCGAAGGACAATGCGTTTGCACCGTTTGAAATGCGCGGCAACACTGAGTTGCGCGTACGCATGCCAGGCGCAGCTCATTAATACTCATCACGGTACTTTCCTGTCTGCGTCAATGACGGAAGGTTGCTTTTACTCGAACTGTTTCCTAATTAAAAAAATTCCTTCCTGTTCATATGGAATAGATTCTTTTTCTTATGTCGCGTGAGCTAAGGGATAATCTCCTACCATATGCTATGATTAAATAAATTGTCGTGTTCTGTTCAAATTACTGCTTAGAGTACGTTTCTATTGGGCTAGGGATCTATCAACCTAACAATTTTTATTTTTATTTGACCTGTTCAATACTTTATTCAGATTTTCTGATAAAAGTATCACAGCAACAAATTGTGCTATTTAAATCAATTAAGTAAAAATGTTCATTGATTCTAATATATAAAAGAATAAAAAAAATGGAGACACATTTAATTGAATCTAAACTAAAATATTATCTCTTTAAAGAGACCACTTGACACGATTTCTAATGAAGAAAATCCCGAGGCGACGAAGCTTCGAACAAAATAAAAGTAAGTCTACAAATTCTTTATTTCAAATTCCACATAAATCTGCAGTATCAATAAACACCATCGATGTTAAACACACACAGACAGGCTAATTAAGCTCTTGAAGGGCATCCGGAGTAATCAAACGGTCGTTGATTCGAAGTTCATCGTCGACTATAAATCTTCACCTTTTTTTCTCACGAACAGAGAAAAGCTCGCGATATGTTTTGTTCTGATTCGGTGAAATCTGGCCCAATTAATATGCCATATGGCAGCCGATATAACAATGCGTTCATATTTTTTACAATTTAAGTCGAGGTTTGTGCTTAAAATTTGTTGTCGTGTTTTAAATTTCGTTTTATTAACTAATTTAAATTGTTTCTCGGAAACTTCGAATGTAAATTATAAAACGAGATTTCATCTAATGTTGAGAAGAAAATTTAGATGTTTAGGACATTCCTTCCAGGTGGTTCATATTAAACGAACACGTATAAATTACTTATTCTTGATATTTAAGAATTAAACCCAGTTTACATATATTAAATTGTGCATTCGAGCGTGCTAAAACACGTTTATGACATCATTATAATTTATCCGAATTTATGAAATTCTTAAATACGTAATTTAGGTGATAAAAAGGTCAGACTAATCTGATAGGCGCATGCCTATATATAAAGATAATTCTTTATATTTATGTAATTGACGAAACGAATTTTAAGATTATAAATTTCATACAATGACTGGTGATTTTTATAGAGATGTTGGTATGTCATTGTTACACTAAGTAAATAATAGTTGTATATGTTTAAGGATTAAAAAGTATACATACTTTTAAAACACTTTTCCATACAATAATATTGACTACGACAGAGTGCTAGGTTAGGTATTAACATTATTAAGATATCAAAATTCACACAGAATCGAACAATCTCACCACTCATTATCATCAATCAACTCAAGTTGGTTTAAAAATGTTCTTTAAATTTACACATTTCATTTCTCACGTTTAAAACACAATGACTGACAGTACCAGTAGTTACAATTTCGCAAAAACAAATAGAACAATTATTGAACATATCGTGCAATCCTTGAGACAGAGCAAACGTAAAGATTGTGTTATAATAAATAAAATAAAAATAGCCTGTATTTGATGACCACGAAAATACGCCTTATATGTCCGCTGTATGTTATTTTTTCTTAAACCATTCTGAAATCCTCTCTAAATATTGAACAATGTGCTTATAATTTGTCGAAGGTTTAACTAAACAAAGTGACTAACATTAATTTACCAGCTCCATATTTTGTTTTTATCGAAATTTATACGGCATGTGCAAGAACGTTCATAATAAATTATTAATGAATTTCAAACTGCACATCAAAAGTGAAAACGATTGTGAGTCACATGCACTAAATTAATGTTTCATTACATGCGATATTAGAATACGATTGTTTTAACCTTTTTTAGATGACGTTAATGTGAAGGAAGTCGGAACGTATAATTCATTTCTATTTTCAAACTCAACAACATGTCTTTCAACAAAAACGCATTTATATTGCGCGGCCCGGATATATGTATATCGACCACTATTTAAGCCTCGATTTATTTGAGCTATCGCGGAATATGCTTTAAAGGGGAAGGAAAATCCATAGCGTCCAAATCCAATAATCAGCATCATGAGCACACCTCACAAACACACCATCACATACATACTAGAAAGGTCTGAAGACCTTCACACAACAGATCCGAGTTAGGTATTATATAATTAAATATATTTAATAATTTTTATTGGTTTTTTCCTTTCGTAAATGTTTACCTTTTCGTATATGTATTTCATCTTTGGCTTTTTCTTTAGTATAATTGTTTTTTGTTATATATAATTTATGTTAGCTGTAGAATTATGAATTAAAGAAATAAATCAACATCACCTCACACTATGCTATATTTTTTTCATTTTTATTGTTTCTTTCGCTTACCTGCTAGCGTTAAAACGGTAAATTAAACTTTAAACTTTTAAAGTCATAAGTTTCCATACAACTCCTATCTTACTCATTAAGAATTCGTAAAACTTCCCTCTTTGTCTTTATCATAAACTGGACCAAGTATAAGCTTCAAGTTTGTAACTTCTCAGTCGGTCGCATCAAAGAGTTTATTATAATTATAACTATTATATATAGTTATAGCTATAGATATATAGTCTCTCAAAACAGTACTTGAGATACCCTTCAAAATATGTTTCGTACAATCTATTACATATGTGCATCTTATAACAGCAGATTATTAAATCAAATATCTAAAGAGATCTATACTTGTGTTGTTGTATTGTGTATTAAAATATAATCTAAAATATTTCTTACTAAGAGATATAGAAAGATTTACGATTGAGTTAATTTTTATTAGATTACATACTTATAATTAATTCGTTTTATTTATTAATCAGAAGAAAAATAAAATATAAACTTAAATTATTATACGTATTCTACAACAGTTTTACAGAAAAGGAATAATTATATATAAAAACTAGCTGATCCGGCAAACGTCGTTTTGCCATGTATATCATTTATAATAAAAAATTGGGGTTGATCGTAGAGGGGTTAAAATTAGGGGTTGTATGTATTTTTTAATGCTGTATCATAAAAAAATAAAAACAGAAAAAAATATCTAAAAATAAAAAAAAAATATTTAGGGGTGGACTACCCTTAACATTTAGGGGGATGAAAAATAGATGTTGTCCGATTCTCAGACATTACCCAACATGCACACAAAATTTCATGAGAATCGGTCGAGCCGTTTCGGAGGAGTTTAACCACACAACGCGACACGAGAATTTTATATATTAGATGACAGCAGACAGGAAAGTCAAGTACACAATATACGATATTAAGAAAATCACAATTAATCACATTTATACTTTACTAATTGGATTTCATTGTAACCTATGCAACATTTGTTTGACATTTTATCCTATTTTAGGTACTACATATATAAATATGATGAATGGAATATTCAAACGATACTAAATACTTTATAATTATCATATTCTTTATAATTATGGACAATATATCTATAAAAGAAGTATTTGGTGGGGGAAGGGTGCTGACAGGGCTACGCTGTCACCGTGTCCTGCCTCGGGCGATTGCTGATGGTGCCGTGGGCATGAACAGTAGCGAGTACCACATAATCCACCATAAGTGAGTCGCGTCGCGGGAGGGCATGCGTAATGTGTAATTTCCCCTCGAAAAAGAAGTCTGAGTGTCATATGTTGGAATTGGATAAGATCGACATGATACTTGATTACGTAAGATATATTCTATCTTAAGTCTAAGCTTTGTAAAAATCAGTTCATTTGTTTTTCTGTTATCTATGCTATTCTGGAGGGGTATGTATTTCAAGTATAATATAGGTAAATAATATTTTTTATCCTTTCATTTTTAAAGCATAATTACCACCACCATACAAATATAAATAAAATGAATAAAAACATTGTATTATCTTATAATAGAACACGTACGTTACTGCTTAAAATTAAATTTTAATGCTTTAAGTAACAATTATAATAAATTCATTAATTACATATTGTTACAACTTTAGCGTTGACAACAATTACAAGATAATAAGCTTATTGGCACAACCATACTGTTTGGTATTTATAATAATGATTAAGTACAAAGTACAATATAGGGTAAATATTGGTAGCTTTTTACATTATTCGTTATCTCTACACCGTCCGTTTGATCTTTTAGAAACTTCATTTTTGATATCAAGAATATTATTTAGAAACCAGCATTTTCTTATAATAATGCAGTAAAATTTAGCTTGTATAGATTAGCACCACTCATATAGTGAGCTTACTTAAATATTTGTTTTATGTCTGTCAATGTTAACATTTATAAGTACAAGCTATTTAATTTTTCATTTTTAGTTTCGATTTGAGCATTGTTTTATAATAAATTCGTTTGTGAGATAATTTCCAAAGTGCCTACGATAAAGTTTATAGCAAATATTAATCAGACTATTGTTTTTTTTTTATTGAACAGGGAGCAAGAGGCACCTGATGTTAAGTGACATGACAGTGAGAAGACACTCTCAATGCCAGAGGACTCACGAATGCCGGCCTTTTACGTGTTGGTTCGAAAATAGTTCAGTGGGCAGCTGGTTCCACATAGTGGTGAAAGAGAAAGAGAGTGAGAGATAAAGAGGTGGATAATTTTGTCGATTCTCCGTTGCGGCTTAATTATTTAATTATATGACTAAAACCATACGGTAGCTAAAACCTACGAAATAACTAACTAACTGTACGTATAACGTAATGTACAATAAATATTGCAGCTTTTTTCGTATTAATTATAATCCAATAATTCATTTTAAACACTCAGATTCGATATCTATCGTCCAGCCGCAGCAGTTGTAGATGCTCCAGTGGTAGCTTCTGATGCAGCAGTGGACTTTGGGGTTGTGGTAGCTTCTCCAGGGGGAGGTGAAGAGGCAGATGGTTTACTCTGGGCATCCACGCTCACAGACCATAGGCCGTTCCAGTTCAAAATGTCTAATATTGTTCCTTGAGATGCGGCTGTAAATTCAAATATAATAGTGATTGTTTCTTTAAAGCAGTTCAAACGTAGTTTCTGTTATATCAGTATCCGTAAGGTACGTAGACATAAGACGTATACAAATAGTAAAAAATATATAAAGATTCTACGTTATATATTTTTTACTATTTGTATTTCTTTCAGCCTTGCGATTCTGTAACTCACTTTTCGAAATCACACAGCGGTTTTCGCATCGGCGGTCGCTCTCAAATCAGTCGTGAAGCAGTCATTTTATGATTTGGCATTCTGATAAACAATAAACTACAAGCTCCCACCTTTTCAGAATGCCAAATCATAAAATGACTGCTTCACGACTGATTTGAGAGCGACCGCCGATGCGAAAACCGCTGTGTGAGTTCGAAAAGTGAGTTACAGAATCGCAGGGCAGACATCTTAATGAAACTAAAAACAATGATTGTATTGGATGTTAACAGATTAATCAGAACAACGAGATTTAACTTGATGTTGTTTACAGAAATAACAAAGCAATGCTTACGTTTTGAGTAAAATTATGTAGGTTTCTGTGATATTTGCTGAGTTAATATTGTTTTGATTTTGAAAATTTTATGGCCTGGGCGAGACCCGCTACCGCCAAACAAGTTTGTATCGAAATGGTCACGTGACAAAGTCTTTCTCATACAAATTCCTTTGGCGGCGGTGGGTCACGCTAGTCGTAAAGTAATTTTGCCTCAAGCGCCTGGCCAACAAGACAACAGTGGAGCATAAGATGGATGACAAAGAACCTCACAATTAGCTATGTCAAAATATTAAAAAACATTAAGTTCGTTATTATGTCTATATTTCGATGGGCAAAAATATTATAACGTTGCCTTAATAATAATCCTCTAATCTCGAATTAGGTACTCTCTGAATAATAAAGAAATCTCTAATTTATTTTGTTTCGCTCCAAGTGCCTGACTAGCGGCAGACGGCAGTGCGCAATCGCCATTGGTAGGGTCCTCCATAGACCAAGAGCTTGTGAACCCTCCGAGTAATGGTAATTGAAAATAATGGCTAGAAATTCTTATGAGTCATGTTAATTACGGTAACCATAGCCTGGCGCGCATTAGCCCTGCACGTCATCAACCCCCACTATGTATCAGCGTGTTGTTTCCACGAAAATGTAAGTGCGTGCTCCTATTTCACCATGCCTCCTGCTCATAGAGGACAATTCTTTGCTTTAATTTATTTTATTATCATTTATTACTTAAGTGGTGTAATGGTTGCAACTCCTTACAAACATTGCGTAAAACAAAAAACTTGGCGATTAAAAAGAGTGGCGGAGAGTTTATTGGCAGTTATTCTCTTCCGTTCTACGCCCTTGATTTGCGAACTGACGGTAAATGTAAAATTAGAAGCATTTAATGTATTTTTCTTTTTTGACGTTCATAACTGTACATTGTGTTAAGTACCTATATGAATAAATAATTTTTGACTTGACTTGATTCCCTTGAAAGTGTAAATTGAATCTAAAAAATAGTTCTAGTTCTATTTTCGGAGTTCAAGACTTATCAACCCTACACTCTTGAAGAGGTAAAGAGGAATTAACAGTTCTAAAGAACCCTGTTACTCTCTACGTATGATCGATGTGTTACTTACGTATTTTTATAGTAATATTTTGCGTAGGAGTTAGAGGCCTGGAACTTGTGGGTTTCTTGGTTGATGTGGATTCGGAGGATTCTTCTGATGAGCAATCTTCACAGAAGCCGTAGCTGTCATCGTCGTCGCATAAAAAGTCACATATGAACGAATCGAAATATGACTGTAAAAATAATCGTTTAAACGCAGTGCCTTTAATATGTCTAAGTATAAATTATAACACAAAAACCTCTTAGCTATCTGCCTATGATTACTATGTTATTAGGGTGCATATTATAAAGCAACAATATTGTATGTACATATATAACTTCACTTTTAAATATAAAATGTTTGTACCCTAAAGGTTTTGTGGTTTTCGACCTTATATTGTATTTGTTTTACCTTAAATAATAAATACAATTCTTATAAATTTGGAAGTAGAATTTGTCTTATTCCTTACTTAGACATAATAATATTATAATAAAGGTTTTTTGTTCATTTTAGATAGTTAATCTCGATCTTACTTCAGATGCACGAAGAATGAGTTTCTTATCTTAAAACCAGGATCGAACGAATGGATGGATTTATAAATCCTGAACTATATTGGTTTAATTTAAGCTGTATTTAAGAAGTTAATTTTACACTAAAGGCTTATTTGTACGTTGTAAAAAATATACAGCATTTTTTACATATACAGAAGTTAACATACAACCTAATAAATCCTCAACTATATTTGTATACAAATTTGTTTCTCAATCCCTAATTCCTCCATCGCATACGTTTTTAATATGCTGAGTTTTTATTAAGAAACTAGGTGTTTAAACATTTCTCGCTACCAGCTCAAAACAATCATCGTATCATAAAGCCTCCAAAGGCTTTTTTTTTTTTTTAAAGACAATTCACACCAATTGACCTAGTCCCATGCTAAGCTGGTGAATCTTGTTTTATGGGTACTAGGCAACGGATATACATACATATTATAGATAGACGTATAAATACATATTTAAACACCCAAGACCTAAGCACAACACCAAATGCTCATCACATCGATGTTCGTCTCAGCCGGGGATCGAACCCGGGACCCATGGATTCGTAGTCAGGGGTACTAACCACTAGACCAATGAGTCGTCGACCATGTACGTAGCCTCTACGTCATGGAGGTGGTATTTATATAATTTTTACCATGAACTTATGCAAGAAGCCGTTTCTCTGTGTCTGCCGAAAAAGGTACTTTTGATATATTCTATTGAAAGTATTCTTAAACTATCCCTAAACCTTGTAGAATATGGTGACAGAAGAGGACATAGGAATCATACTACATTATTAATGCGTCTCAATGTAGAATATGTTTTTGTTTCAACTTCTGCCTAAAATATTCGTCATAATTTTACATACAAACAATATCAACTTATAGAAAGTCTTAAAGGCAAAATTCAGTTTACGCTAAATTCCATTAACTTTAAGTTCCTGAGAAGAACTTAAGTGGTAACAATAAAAACTTTATTTAAATCACAAACAGTTGAAAATAAAAGTAATTCATCCATTGTTCAAAGAGCGGTCTTGCTGCTAAGAGAAGTTTTTTCCAGCCAACCCCGACGTAAATTAACTAAAGGGTAACATTAAAAATACTAATCTTTACTCAAAAATAATACTAAATAAAAAACCGGGAATCAAATTATGAAAAACACTTACTAGTAGAATCTTCTTAGATGATATTAGTTTGTTTTCTATATTATATAAAAAATAATACTTACTTGCGCATGAATAACATGCAGTAGAACAAATAATAAGATCACGCACGTCCGAACCTCGCCCATGGTTCTCGAGGTTTTCACGAAAACTTTTCCAAGAGTTTCACTACATACAAGTATATAATGAGCGTTTGCGCAATACGTCTGAAATATAGATATATATCCTTCGTCAAAGATTAAAACATACGTCATTCTGACAAAAATATTTATTTTATTTACTTTGCGTAAACTATGAATTGTGACAGTATGTATATAGTTTCCATTCCATTTTTAGTCCATTTTAGGCCCTACGATTAACTTTAAGGCAGTTTAATTTTCCCATTATCATTATTGTTTAATTGTCCTTTAATTTTAATAAGTATTATTCTTTAAAATAATTTAATTAATAACGATATATATAGAATCAGAATAGTGATATCTGATTCAAGGAAATTGCTAATATTTGTGAAAGAATTTTTGATGATTGAATTAGAACGGAATAAAAAAAATCAATGCATTCAGTAAATGACATAACCACCTGTTTTCAGACCTCAAGAGAATGCCCGCTGGACATAAATTTTACGCTGATGAAGAGGTAATCCCCAAAACTAAATTGAGGCTAAAGACAAATCGTACTATAAAAATTGTATCGAAAATCGACCGCTATAATCGTTGTATCACTCTCGAAGGAAATCAAATCAAATTCTATCAAAAAAGATTTTTTATATGTTAGCCTACGATTTTTTCAGCCCACCTAATATATTCTTCTATTGGCATATTTGTAATGTGTAATTGGTGTTAAACTCTATAAACAATGTGGCATATCTCGCAGGGGACGTTGTAACTTATACCTGATGTCTCCTAGAAGTATTTCACCTGACCATAAATTAAAATCAGTTAAGAACGCCACATCTGTAAAATCACCATGCTCTGCGAAACAAATTCGTTTTAATACTTGTTAGTAGAACAGTTTAAAGATAATTTCAATATATTTTAGACACGGTCAAGTCTGAATGTCATAATACGTGTTCATACAGAGGTGCGTGCTTATTGTCTTTGTATAGAATAACAGCTACAGAATACTAATTATTAATCATTGTTCGAAACTCAGTTCGTTAGAGATAAACTTAATGCCAATCTACAAGTACGTTAATGTTCTCCAATTTAACTTACGATAGTAACATATACAATAAATTGTGATTATCAATACCTTATCTTAAATAAGAAGCTGGCTTCGAATTGATAGACCATATGCATATTCCCTGGACCTAGTGATTTTTAGTTCCGTGGTTAATGAAGCATGCCAGGGGCCATAAATTTGTAGATGTCGAAATACAACACGATTTTTTAAGGGATCAGGAAGATTATTTTTTAAAGGAAATTTTAGCTTTTGAAAAATATATACAAAGTGTATAAACCTGAAAGATTTAAAATTAAATAACATTTTATAAAAGATCATGCGTCACACTCATTATCACTTTTTATTGAACAGCGAAGGGCATTTTCAAAAATTTTATATGCCTCCAGAATTGGTGACAATTTTAATATTTGAAGATTTTGTATAAAATAGATTTTCAAGAATTTTATATATAAATCAATGCTACTTGCATGTGTGAAGGTAGGTGTCTACTATATGAAAAATTTATATATAGGTATTCTGACTCTGAACTATAACCATCATTATGAAAGTAAAATCAGGATAAGTATATGTAACAGAATTATAATTGTTACGTTCTTAATTTAATTGAAAGATAAATAGATAATAAAACACAATATATTAAGACAATTTTATTTTGTGAAAAGAATATAAAATGTATTAAATATGAACAGCTGCAGTCCCAGATAGTTTTAAATTAGTTACCGGATACGCTAACTTATAATCTAACAAAGGATAATTTATTTTCATATTCTCGATAGTTATAATATATATTAAAAATAATTTCGCTTAAAATTAAAAATTATGAGTTCACTTTTAAATGGATTCCAATGTACGAAATTCTATCATTACTATGTTGCAAGGTTTCCTTGAACTAATTAAATACTTATAACCTACTTAGTTAGGTCACGCACTTGGTTCAGTCAAAGACTTGTAGTCTGCTTTTCGGAGAACATAAAAATTGGTTTGGAAACTACACCAAATTATAGACATTCGTGTAAATTAAACAAGCACATACAAATTACACAATATTTTCAAAGATATTTTTTTGTAACGTTGTTCATTTGTTTTAATGTACTGACTGGGCGGTAGAGATATCTGTGTATGAAATGACTTATTTCACTAATTTCCAAAAGAGATCTTGTAGCTGACGTTAGGTCTTAAAGGTACTTTGCTTCCAACTTCCACGAGAACAGGTGAATCATCAGGTCTCGCTGGCTTGTCGGAACAATCTTTATGCGGTATAGGAAATACGTAGTTGATATCGACGTCGTATCTGAAATAATTGAGGTTTACATTTGCTGAGAGCGTTAGACCAGTTCTATTGTATATTTAAAGAATAAATGTTTTCTTAGTAATCGACTTAATAATGTTGATGGAGGCAGAGACATATCAGGAACATTTTAATTGTGTGTCAAAGTCAAATCGATCATTAGGCATTTTGTACCTTAGCATGGCTAATAGTCATTGTTTTCCAATTATCCGGTATATTTTATTGTAGAATCAAGAAAAGGTATTACAAATTAAGAAACAAGCATAAAACTGATTCTGTACAAAATTAAAAAAAAAAATTTAATAAAAAAAAAAAATTAATATATATTTAATCGAAACATCAAAGTAACTAACCTCGGTAGCTTATCCCTCAAGTATGCCATGACGTTTTTCGGCAGTCCCGTAGTTCTCGACAAAACAAAAGCAGTCAAATACCGAGTTCCTTCTCTTTGCTCAGCACAATGCAGTAGGAGAGCCCAGGTCTTATATTCCGTGTCTAGTACGTATGTGTTGTAAATACCATCATCTGAAATCAATAGTATTTAACATATATATATGTGACAGAATCAGAGGAAAATAGCTTTAAGTCACAGAAACGAGAGTAGTACCTAAATAATGGCGGGGTAGGACCGGGGTAGGAACGATTGTCAAATGATTACTTTAATGTTGATGGTCTCACGTGTTTAAAGTGTAAAAAAATACTTTTACTAATTATTATGACTATTTAATCGTCGTTCATTTATATAGAAGTAATATTGCCAATTCAAATAAAACAAAAGATTAATTAACGGTTTTTAACTTATATGACTTTGACGTTGTTAATTTATAAGCTCTGTGCCATGAAGACAATGGCAGCTAATATAGTAAGCAGTAAACAGCACTATTAAAATATTAAATGTAACATATGTTCGATACCACAAGTTACATATAACGAATTATGTTGTGTCTTTTTACGCGATATAAAACCTTTTATAGACGCGTCTGAAGTACTTGTAATATGCATAATATTTGATATATCAAAGTCAATTCGTAAATAATCTATCATCAATGATCTTTGATGGTAGATGATTTTCTTTTACCCATCTAGCAAGTGTTAGTAGCAGAGAGAGAAAAAAATCCGTTAGTGTGCCACTGGGGTTTTAACTAAAACTGTCTGTGTATGAGCATGCATAACCTAACTAACATTGCATTTATTGCTAAATAACATTCATACACACTCAATACTCATTTTTATAATATCAGTTTTATTATATACCATAGAAAATAAACTCCTTTTCAAATATACCAGCAATTGACCCAGTTATCTCATAAAAAATAAACTATTGTATTCAAACCTCCATTTAATACTCACAGGTTCGTTCAGAATGAGTCCAATGTGCGGGCTCATTCAGGTCAACCCTCCAAGTGATATTTCCATACAAATTCTCGCCAATAGGATCGTCTGCGTACCGGTAGGTAAAATTCATCGTCATAGCGGGCGTCCATTCTATCGTTCCGTCTTGAATTGAATGTTAAAGTATTATAAACAAAGAAACATATTTTTTTAAATCTACTGGAATATTTTGTATGGGTACAGTTAAATTTATGAAACAATTGAGGCTAAAGTCTGAAACTTGGGTCGCATAGCCAGCGGAGTGAGTAAAGTCTGGCTGAGTCGGATATAATATATAAAATAAGTATATTTAAAAATTAAACACGTGAACATTCGTTAAAGTACCGAATACTATATTTACAAATTAATATCTAAAATTATGATAAATAACTTATAATAATAATAATGACTATGGAGTCATTATTATTCTCGACCATTGAATAGTCGTTAATTTTTAGATCTAGCAACATTACTACAGACTATCAAAAAGTCTGTTAATCTATTGATCTATTAATAATGGCAAATCAAATAAACCATATAACGGTTTTTAACTAATTTGACTTTGATGTTATTAAATTATAATGAAAATGGCAGCTGATACCAGCGCCTTTATTCCGATATATATATATATATAAACAGTTACTTGTGTAATTCTTATTAATAATCAACGCAAAATTATTATTTTTTACATGAATTTATTTTCAAAGTGACACGAGAGCGATATGGACAAACATTTGTGGATCTTCAATCTTAAATTACTAAATAAAATAAAGCGGGTTGTAGCATAGTTTGTAAAGAGCGAATATGGTGCCCGTATTGAAGTTCCCGACCGAGTTTTAGTTTTTCTAATAAAGTTTGTCATTGGTCAACGATTTTTTTTAAGGTACAGAATGTATGTTTTGTAATTTGATATTAGACTTGAAGCCTATTAAACATCTGGTCAATTAACGCCATCTATCGCAGCGAAGTTGAAACTTTTATTCCACATTTTTTACAGTATTAATGATGCCCCTTTTATAGATACTTCTTTGGTATGTAAGGCTTTGAAATTATGATTTCATTTTGAACAAATGAATTATATAACTGTAAGTAAATATAAGATACATGTTTCTTTAATTATTCATTTTACTAAAAATACAAACACAGGGTCCCACAGAAGCTTACTTAAATAGACGTTATTCTTTAAACTTTTTGGATAATTAAATTTATCATACCTTCAGCTTGTACATGATCATCCTCAGTGAAGACAGCTCTCATGCAACTGTATGATAATGCTTCTTCAGCACTGGCATAGTATTCCACGACGAACCAATCTCCAAGCATCTATGAAAATAACATTTAAATGAAAACTTTCTGTGTACTAATATACTTTATTTTAATTTATCAATTTATCACTTTTATTTAGCCTCTTATAAGGATGAAGCAGCGTTTTGTGGTATTTTGCTAATGCTACAAATACAGGCGTCATTTTTATAAAATATTTACATTTACTCAACCAATCTAGTTTAAGGAAAAAAAGAGATCTATTAACATTAAATTGCATAAGTGTGTGATATTTCCTTTTTGAAAGCAAATACGGAATATAATTGTAACGGAGGATAGCACGAGTACCAATTGGGAAACAAAACAGAGACAGACAGATGGAAAGAGAGGGAGAACGATATACTCAAACTCAAAATAACTTTATTCATATAGCTAAACAAATACACTTATGAACGCAAGAAAATAAGTTAAATTCATTCTAAATTTACATTTATTACGAGTTCACAAGTCAAGGGCGTAGAGCGGGCAAGAAGAACTGGCAAGAAACTTTCCGCCACTCTTTTTAATCGCTAAGTCTTGAGTCATGCAAATCAATCCCAAGGATTAGGATCATTTAAATATTCATCAAATTTATAAAAAGCTTTATTGATTAATTTACTTTTAACGAGAACTTTGAATTTATTTCGTGATAATTCTTTAATTTCGCTTGGGAGTTTGTTGTAAAAACGAATACAATTTCCATATAAGGAGTGGTTACTTCTGGAGCCTGGTTGGTCGTACTCTCAAAATATTTCGGTTTCGAGTATTGAACTGACGGACTGGTGAAAGTCACCATTTGTTTTAAAAATTTGTTTAAAAAAGGTAGCAGGTCCAATGTGGATTAGATCCGCTAGAGAATGCCAGGATTGGTAAATTTTTGAGGAGGCCTTTGTCAAAGGACAAGCTGTTAATACATAAATAACTATAAGATATTTCATAATTGGATATTCGCAGCGCAAATTATAAGTTTGTTGCTTTGTTTACGCTTCTTCTGTATTCTCAATTCTTTAAGGTCAGGCTGACGTCTTCAAGCCTTAAAATATAAATGAAACAGACACGTATATTAATATAATCTTATATATGCTTATTCCATTGTCTTATATTATTTTAGACAATTCTATTCGCACATCTCCCACGACCTTATACTATCACTTCGGCGTCTGTAGATTTTCTATTTGAATACTGTCACTTTCAATGGCAAACATTTTGCGATCTCTCTAATCCTCAAACAATAACAGTAGCTTAATCACAACTGGTTACCATAACAATGGATATAAACTGACAACTCAATGTAGATATTTGCATACATTATACAATATTACTCTCGAGTTTAATCCTTCACTTTCTATTTTATGGTTGATTACGTATTTAATAGTGAGATTATCCGTGTCGTTGAGCGTAAACTGATAGATAATTAATAGAAATCTAGAATATTGATTTGAGGATTTTTATAATTAAAAAAAATGTTGTTTTTTTTGGGATTTATGGGACTTCTAGAAATCTAATCTATATATTTATATTACTTTTCTATTGTTATCTTTAATTTACATTTGTCTTTCTCTAGCAGCAGCGCAGTTTTATAAAAATAGTGCATTTTTTTTTAGTATCTATTCATTACCGAAAGCAATTCACAGAATTGTATTTCAAAATAAGAGCGCTCGTGTATTATTCTACCTTATAAAAAACTATCATAAAAATGCTACCGAATAATTCCTGATTATTACAGTATATATAACAGGTGTTTTTGATACACCATTTGAGTTGCACCCATATTGTCTGCGAATTATTAATTTGTTTTCACACATTTTACATCTCATCATTCATATTAAACAAATTCTTTCTGTAGCCAAGATAAAAATGGCACCTCATTAAAAACCAATCAGCGAAACATGTTTCCTTTGAGTTATGAGTTAGCTAATGTTCACAACCGTTACATGTTACTATTCCAATAAACTTTGACCATGTGTCCTTAATCCCGGGTATATAAAACTTATATTAAATTATTATAAAGTTTACTTTATATAGGAATCGTAGCAACTGTTCATGTTAAAACTAAAATCAATTGAATTAGGCATGTAAGATACCCCAGTAGGGTTCGATTCGGTTCAAAAATACTTTATTTCTCAAAGAATAAACTTTAGGTAGCTTCTAACGATTAATCAACGATTTTATATCAGCCAGTATAGCAGCAGCAGTGTCGGCCTAGTGGCTTCATCCACGTGCGACTCTCATGCCTGAGGTCGTAGATTCGATCCCCGGCTGTGCATTAATAGACTTTCTCCCATATGCGTATTTAACACTCGCTCTTACGGTAAAGGAAAACATCGTGAGGAAACCGGCTTGCCTTAGACATAAAAAGTCGAGAGCGTGTGTCAGGCACAGAAGGCTGATCACCTACTTACCCTTTAGATAGACAAATGATCATGAAACTATACAGAAAACTGAGGCCTTAAAAAGGTTGTAGCGCTACTGATTTATTTTATAGTACCCTGCACTTAGGTCAACACTAATAACTTTAATATTACATGTGTATTATATTATGTAAGGTAAGAGAATTTAGCAAAACATATAATAAATAGTTTACATGACTATATTTCTGTACAAATTTTGCATTATTCGTCATATTATTAAACTTTATTCCAGTTTTTGGCTTATTCTTTTATAAATTTGAGTCTTCTAATTAAAATTGTAGCTATTCCTTCTATGACGACATTTAGTCAAGTTTTTAAAGGATTTTCATCAATGTTAATCCATTAAAATCTTTATGAACGATTTCCTCTTGAATAAGACTTTTTCTATTGATTAATGCGCAAAACTTTTCCAATAAACCAGCATTAGTACATACATATTTAAATTTTTGAAGCTTTCTTTTTGAATTCTGATTAGGTTGATGATTAAGATAAAACCTAGTGCTAAAATCAGAGAAATTGAAAGCTAATGGAATTTTAAACAATTTTTTCTAATATCCGTCTGGCCTACCATTATTTTTATTTATAATATATATTTAATTATTTAATATATATTTCACCGTTCACGCATTGTGAGTGTCGGGTAGGGTTTCATAGGTATCAGGCTTTCCCTTCGAATGGTAATCGAACTTGATGCAGTACATGGGTCTCACTATTTAATTAACAATGGATCTTTGCTATTTTAAGTAACTTATTATTATTTTTATTTTTAAATAAAGTGATCTTGACGGCTGTAGGCCCGGTGGCCTTCCCCTAAATCCAGCCCTGTCACATTTCAATTCGAGAGGCATTATTTAGTTATTGATTTATATTCGTGCTTTTATAACATTTAGCTTACTATGGACGATAGATATGTTGGAAATGGCTACAAAAGTCTATGTTTAGTGGTGAATCATTTTATTTGAACTACCATGTTTGAAGTCAATAAACCACCGATGTGTATCTGAAAGTCTTAAATTCGTTTCCCGTGTTGTCTTAATAAGTGATAAATTAAATGCAACGTGTCTTGGATTCCATAGTGTAACAATAAAAAGCCCCGAAAGTTAACGGGATAAACATCCTCTTCCTATGGCAACTTGAAAGTCCTGGGTTTAATTCCCGGATTGCTTCATGATCAATGAAACAAAATCAAAAATTTCTGCCACGTGCTTCAACGGTTACGGGACTTGATAGTAAATAAACGTTAATAATATATAATAATTATTACAACAAAGATATTCTTATACGATTATTATGTAAGGTACGTAACAATTGAATTCAATAATTAATATGAATTCGGCGTGTTGAACTGTTATCGACGCCACGTCCGGCGCCCACGCACGGTACTTCCATAAACGACGCAACTTTGTAATACTTCAATAAATATTATTTGTAAAGATAGTTGGGATTGCTTAGGGTTAGTAATTATATTAGTATGCAGCTGATCCGGCAAACGTCGTTTTGCCATGTATTTATAAAAAATAGGGGTTTATCGTAGAGGGGTGAAAATTAGGGGTTGTACTCGTATGTATTTTTTAATGCTGTATGATAAAAAAATAAAGAATTAAATTTTTATTCAAAATTAAAAAGAAAAAAGTTAAGGGTGGACTACCCTTAACATTTAGGGGGATGAAAAATATATGTTGTCCGATTCTCAGATATACCTAATATGCACACAAAATTTCATGAGAATCGGTCGAGCCGTTTCGGAGGAGTTTAATTACAAACACCGCGACACGAGAATTTTATATATGTATTAGATATATATATTTTTTACTTAATGTTCGTAGAGTGAGTTCTCAGTAGCGATATTTTGTATCGTATGTACTTCATACTTTATTTTTAATTTCGACATTATTGTATTGGCTTAGTACTGTCAGGATATTGTACATGTTTGTGAATAAATAAATAAATATCAGTATATTTTTAGTCCTTAATAATATTTTCTAAACTATCGGAATATGATTTATATTTTTGGTATTTCCACCCAATATTTCGGTTTTAAATTATTATTATAAATACTTATTAATATAGTATGTTTTATAGTCATATATTATTAAAAGGATCTTGCTGAACTCACTTGGGCCAAATCGAAGTGGGGAGCGGCGCGCACTTCCGGGCATTTCCACTTATTAACAATCTTTCCGGATACAACATTCACTACAACCACAAAAAGCACAAAAACTATTTTAGACATATTTAAGGGTAAACGTATTACTCATTCGGTTGTCGCTGGTCAACTAACAAAAGGGAATTGTTATCATTTTGTATGGGACATTAGTTAATGTTGCTGGGACGCGTTCGGAATTCCATTATCAGGTACAGTGACTCATAATTTACTTTGAAATCATTTACGTTTATTTTTTAATATTTTAAATGTGGTGTTGGTCAAAATAAAAATGTTGGAATTAGCTGTTTGTATTGGTGTTATTTCTGTACGAAACTCGCAAAAATTTATTAACCAATAAAAATCATAAAATTATAAGAAATGAAGAGCGTGTTCTAAATAAGTAAAGTACATCTACTTAGAAATAACTCAGGCTCTGATGCATGATGATTTTTTTTAATTCTTAATTACTACTAGAAATGAACTGTTACAATTAATTTATTACATTTTAGATAAAAATTAATTGACTCCAAAATTTAATCTTTTTATTTCGAATGTGACAATGGCAAGAAGAATTTTACTTTTTATATACAAAGACAAAAAATAATCATAGCTAAAAGGTCTAAAGTATCGAGCCAGCAGCTCCCAGCAAGAACAAGTAATTTTTAAATAGAAAACTAGTATAAAACAATATTGTAGCTGCAGGTGACCTCTCACCGTACCAGTTCAGAAAACTGTGTTACGGGGGGCCTGTAGGAGACAGTACAATGAAGAAAATAACCTATATCACGACAAAGGAACAAAAAACAAAAGGGAAAAGCAAAGACATTTAAATGTTTTATCATAAAATAACGGTATAATCATTACACACACTATCACGCAAACTATGGATTTTTTTATTAGTAGGTACAATCAAAGTTTTTTAACGGATATCAACAACTTCATTACTTTACTAGTTTCAACTATATTCAAGAATTGTGGTCAGCGAGAAACTGATTCATCAACTTACGTCATTATATCTAAAATTATCGTGATTCATGTGCACTTTTGATTTTTCATGTATCCTTTTTTAATATTGTAATGATCACTGTTTGCATATGTTTTAATTGCTTTGTTTTGTTTCATTATTTTTTTCAAATAGCTGTCTTATGTATTTTTGCACTTCTTGCTTTTTTTTATCACAGTGGTTGCCTGGAAGAGATCGTTGAAGGCGATAAGCGATATCCGTTTTATTTAATTATATCAATTGTATTAAATTCTGTACATGCAACGAATTGTTAATAAATAAACAAATAAATGTAGTACTCACGTAAACTAAAGACAAAATACAGTTTTAAATTACATACTACCTGTTTAAAGCTGTATTTTGTCTACACAGCTAAATAAGTAAGTTTCTAAGATACACGGCTTCTAATCTTAACGTTGTGATAACAATTATGATGTTGACGATGTTATCACTGGTTATTAGTTGACACTCGCTAACGATATTAAAATGTTATCTTGTTTAGATACTTTAGGTACATTAAGCTTTAAGATAAAGCCAACTTTGAGCTTATATTTAAAACCTTTGCTATTGCAGCGGTGGCCTAGGGGCTACAGCGTGCGACTCTCATCTATGAGGGCATAGGTTCGATATCGGCTGTGCCCCAATGGACTTTCTGTCTATGTGCGCATTTTACATTCGCTTGAACGGTGAAGCAAAACATTGTGAGGAAACCCACTTGCCTTAGACCCAAAAAGTCGACGGTGTGTGTCAGGCACAGGAGGCTGATCACCTACTTGCCTATTGATTGGCAAATGATCATGATACAGATACAGAAGTCTCTCCAGACCCAAAAAGGTTGTAGCGGTTTTTTGCTCGTAAATTTGACCTATGAGTATGTTATGTCTTGTTCTTAAGTGTATGTTGTTCTTAGCATTGGTTGAATGGAAAATATCGTTTATGATATTAAAGCTAACTAAAGAAGAAGCTTACGATGATTATTATTTAGTTAAATGAATAACGGTTTTATTCATAATCGTACTATAAGTCACCTTTAGTTAAGTAACAAGAGTATAATAATCAGTTTCAGACTATACTTATGAATGATGTAAAATGTGTGTTATGAAAAAGTATATTAAAATTATGATTTCTGTTATAATTGGTCATAACAAGGTGCACAAAAATGCGGATAAATAAAAAGGTGGGACTATAGATGCACATTCATAAAGTACAAGGCGTTTATGTACACTCTTAAGCCATGGCTGAAAACCAGTTGAAACATCAAGCAATGTAAATAATCAAACAAATTCGTGTTCCGTTTTGATATATGTATTTTTGCGCTTTTAATAACTTATTAATAATTTATCTAGCTGACCCTGCGAACTTCGTTTCTGCCTTAATATGATATTTTACTTAACCTCCGTATTTCAGTAGCTACATACCAACATATGGAACACTTTGACATAGACTATTCGCTTTTCCGGAATAAAAACCTAAGTTCTATTTTTTAATATATTTCCAATTTTTCTCTTCATAAAATAAAAACATTCGTCAGAGTTCAAGGAATATATAAAAAAATACTCGACCTGATCCAGCTGTCTTCGGCTTAGCAACATATTTTGCGATTTATCTACAATTGTTACTGTTATTTATCTTTTAGTGAAATTATTCTTGTGAGCGCATATATTGGGGCCCCTTTACACCCGGTTCATTTGAGCTACATACACATGATGGCAGACTGGTTTGTAAAATATTAGCAAAATTCGTGTCATTACAACTAGTTTTTATAACCCACTTTTAAACCATTTTGTGTCGCATCAATTTGAATACACCGGTTTTAAGGAAATTATAGAATAAACAGTATTAATCTAAAAGCGTTTATTTCCATTTTACAGTTGTACTCAGAAAAGTTGTGTATAAAATGAGGATGATGGTTTTCGCTGTATAGTCTGTCTAGTCTGTATAGTCTGTATAGCTATTAGGTATTTTGTATTTGCTGGATGAGATGTTTCTTTATAAACCATACAACTATGTGCTGAGGTTTGAGATAAACCGGATACATTTTGTATCTCCACTAAGCTTTAATTTTCATTGTGGCTTCAGCATGCGACTGTCATCCCTGAGATTCGATCCCCGGCTGTGCACCAATGGACTTTTTTCTATGTGCGCATTCAACATTCGCTCAAATTGTGATAGAAAACATCGTGATGAAACTAGCCTGAGACCCAAAAACCTACTTGTCTATTTGACAAATGATCACGAAATAGATTCAGAAATCTAAAACCCAGACCTAAAAAGGTTGTAGCGCTAATGATATTTTTAGACATAGACATAGCATTTATTACATACGAAAACACACACACATAAACACACAAAATAACAATACTCAAAGAAAAAATAAAATAAGACATGTCAAAAACAATAAAAATAAAAAATTCCCTTTTCCCATTCGGTTCGCTTCAAGTGTGCAATGTGTGTGTGCTGTGGTTGTAATTGGCCCTGGCTCAGCATTATGCTGAGGAGCAGAAAGTTCCACAGCGCTGGTCATTCTGCCAGAGAACACAGCAGCTAGTTTACGCCTCAGTAGCAAAAAAAATAATAATAATAATACTAAGTAGAAAATAATAATAATAATAATATTAAAGTTAGCAGTGTGAGTGATGAAAATCGTGTGTACGGGTGTATAGTAAATAAAATTAAATTAAAAGTTAAAAATAAGAGTAATTGTTAATAAGTAGATATTTTTTGTTTTTAAGCGCTCTAATTTGGCCTTCTTCTCTCCACCAAACAGAATGGCTAGAATGTGCAATTGGCTGCAGTGCCCGAACAATCTTGATATTTGTCTGAGCGCCCATCTGATTACAAGGCATTCTGTTATCACTATCTTAGGTTCTTTTACTATGCTTATAATTTAAGGTATTTTGCAATATTTATTTTGGCAACTTATTATTATTTTATAAGCATTATGTTTGTGTACAGTCTGCACCTATTATCGAGGCCACACATAGGTGTATAATCTGTATAACTAGATTTTTTTCTTACGTGTGTTGTTGGTGCAGCTATAAATAAACAAATATAATAATTATTATTAAAAGTTAGATCTACACTGGATGATGTCAGGATTTGATGTTCGCCTCCTCCTTCTTATGTTATAGTCAAACGACTATAGTGGTCAATATTCTTTCAAATCAAATCAAATCAAAATACGTTTATTCAATTTAGATGCTTCTTAGAGCATGCTTATGAATGTAAACAACGTTTACAAAATTCACGAAAGAGCAAGACTACGCCATCCGTTCGCAAAACTACCAGGAGGCCTTGTTCTGAGAAGAACGGGCAAGAAACTCAGCAAGTTTGCCCTCCCTTTACATTACAATGATTCAAAGGAAAATGTCATAAACCACAACGTCATTAAAATTACATAAGTAAAAAAAATAAAAAATCTGTTCTGTGATTTACCACATTCACCATTACACACATATTCATAACACTTCAAAGATAACAAATCAAATTATAAGAATATAATTAGAACTATTGCCAAGCGTTTTTATCTTCCAGGTAGTCATTGACTGTGTAGTAACCTTTACACATTAAGGTTTTTTGTATACGCATATTATTACTGAATAACTTTCACACCCAATAAAAACTTGTAACTGAAGTATGTCTTTATATAAATGGGTATAATATTCTCTCTCTAAGAGGATTATGTCATATGTAAAAGATGTTGTTATTATTATGCCCAGATTGTGGCTTATAAAGACGTTTAATCTGATCGTAACAAAGTCATAATGAATATATTTTTAAAGTGTTTCGATATATCAAAGTATGACTTTTAAAGGTTTATAGTATTAATATTAGGATTTCTTTATGAGTTGCTACTCAACTCTACTGCTATGACTTTGCAAAATATATTCTTCTATATATTTGCCTATGGAATTTAATATTTTCTTATTAAGTTTTATTATATGAATCATCAACATGACAAAGACATCAAAATTTCGTCTCAAGAATGCCACGCTATCAGATATACGTGTTTTTACGTTTGTGTTTTCACCGATTGCGCTTGCGCCGATATGGGGACATCTTTGGTATTCTGCGCCTGCGCTGG